GAGTATTTGTTGAAGGTTTATGTTGGTAAATGAAGATATTCATTATTATAAAGGTGCTTTTCTGCTAGCAATTAAAAGTGTTAGCTACATTGCATGTATACTATAGGTTCAACAAACTTGAGCTTTATTGCACTAATATGCTTGAAGTTCAAAATATTTCATTTTACGAATTGATTATAAAGATTGTGAAATTTGCTCGTAACACTTGTATTATGAACTGATGGCCTTATATGCGACAAGAACAATTGCAATGAGGCGCAAAGGAACCCAAGCCTTCAGAACATTAACTAGCCGAACCGAGAGGCTTTGTTTAAAATACATTTTTAAGCTTAAGAAGAGTATTTAACTAATTCATTTGGTACGTTTCATACTTTTTGTTCCATTCTGTGATTACTGGGTGTTATATTAAGGCTAAGCTAAAAGAAGTTCGGTACAAAAATATTACTGATCCGAAATGAAATATTTACTCTTTTTGTTTACATTTTTAAGTGTTATTTCTACTGCACTTTCATGGTCTCCTACAGGGGGATATGCCCCAGGGAAGGTTGATTGCCCAGATAAGAGTTTGGTAAGGGCTGCTTCGGATATATCTGACGAAGAGAAAGAATGGTTAGAGGGCCGTAACAAGGTTACTAATGAGAACTTGATTAGTTTTTTAGAGAATTGTGATATGAAGGATTTTGATGCAGAAAAGTTCATCAAGAATACCAGTAAGCCAATTACGATTGGTCTTGCTTTTTCTGGAGGAGGATACAGAGCTATGTTGAATGGTGCGGGTCAATTGTCCGCGTTAGATAACAGAACCGACGGTGCTTCCGACAACGCGTTAGGAGGATTGTTGCAATCGTCAACATATTTGGTTGGGTTATCTGGAGGAAATTGGTTAGTTGGAACTATTGCTTTGAACAACTTCACTTCTGTTCAAAAGATATTGAAAGACGGGGAAATCTGGGATTTAGAGCATTCTATTGTAAATTATGGGGGTTGGAATGTTTTGAGTACTTATAATTATTACAAGGGCATTTCAGATGACATCAATGCAAAAGAAGCGGCTGGATTTGAAGTTTCGTTAACTGATACTTGGGCCAGAGCATTGTCCCACCAATTCTTCACTAAATTAGACGACGATGGAGCTAGCTTAACATGGTCAGATATGCGTGATATGAATCCTTTCAAGAAATACGAAATGCCATTTCCTATTGTAGTGGCAGATGGTAGAACTCCTGGAACTCAAATTATTAGTGGTAATTCAACTGTTTTCGAATTCAATGCCTTTGAAATGGGATCTTGGGATCCTTCCTTGTATCAGTTTAGTGACGTGAAATATATTGGTACTGATGCCGATGATGGTGAGTCTACCAATGGTTCTTGTATCGCAGGATTTGATAATGCCGGTTATGTTATGGGTACTTCGTCTTCATTGTTCAATCAATTTGTATTGCAGATTAATACGACATCGCTTTCAACTACAGTCCAGAACATAGTCAAACATTTCTTGGAAAAAGTTTCGAATGCTGAAGATGATGTAGCTATTTATAAACCAAACCCATTCTATGAAACTGATGAAGCTTCAATCAAATCAATTGTCAAGAATGATACTTTATTCTTGGTTGATGGTGGTGAGGATTTACAGAATGTTCCATTACACCCATTATTACAACCTCAACGTAAGGTTGATGTTATTTTTGCGTATGATAACTCAGCAGATATAAACGAGTCTTGGCCAAACGGTGCATCATTGGTTGCAACATACGAGAGACAATTTTTAGAACAAGGTAACGGTACCATTTTCCCATATGTTCCAGATGTCAATACTTTCCTTAATCTAAATTTAACAACTAGACCAAGTTTTTTTGGATGTGATGCAAAAAATTTAACTTCGTTGCTTGATCTGGATACAACGGACAAAGACTCAGTTTTTGATTCCCCATTGGTTGTTTATACAGCCAATAGACCATTCAGTTACTGGTCTAACACTTCCACTTATCAGATGTCTTACGATGACAAGGAAAAGAAAGGTGTTATACAAAATGGTTATGAAGCTGCTTCAAGATTGAACAGCACCTTGGATAAAGAATGGGCTGCCTGTGTTGGATGTGCAATAATCAGAAGAGAGCAGGAAAGAAATGGAATTGAACAATCAGATCAATGTAAAAAGTGTTTTGAAAGATATTGCTGGAACGGTGATCTTGATCCAACTGATCAACCAGGGGTCAATTTCACAAACACAGGTTTGACAGATGGCGAAAACCAAGTATCTGGTAGTGCATCCTTAATATTCGAAAACAGATACCAAATCATGAAATCCATGGGTTTTGCTTTATTAGTTACCGTTGCATTTTCATTTGCTGTTTAAGGTCTAATTTTTCGAATCTGCTTTAGAATAAATAGAATTAGAGAAGTAGAAATATCGCAGAAATAGAAATAGAAATAGAAATATAAATAGAAATGAAACCACAGTGTGTCTAGTATTTTAGTTCTCCACCATTCCAAAACTAGTGTGGATTCATGTCGCTCGGACTCGCGATAATTAGTTAATGTGCAACAGTTTTGCACCAATTCATAATGGTGTGGAGGCTCTTAGACCAATTAATGTAAATGATATATTCCCTATAACCAGAGAAAAATGCTTTGATTTCTTTAAACCTAGTAGAATCTTGTTCTATTTCTTAAGATACCTTACTATGACTATCACAAGCACAGCATTAATCAAAGACGATTTTAATTTATTGGTTCCAATTCACGACCCGTCGAAGCCACTAGATATAACGCAGCTAACCCACACCAAGTCTTCACCATATGTGGAGCCAGATCATTTACTAGATCTCTCCAGTCTAAGCGATGAATATCGCGTTCTCGCTTTGGCTTTGCAATCATTTCATCCTATAAATAATCACAACTATGCCAATTCAACTTACCTGGAAGCATTTAATATAGATGTGATCTTAGAGCTTGTGAGAGAATATTCGTTTCAATTGAATATACTATTTCCTTCGACTACTGTTTATATTATTGTGTTTCGATCTGCTTTATATGAAGAAGTTAGAAACTCTTCTGAAAAGCGTCAATTCTTAGCAGATATCGATAAAGCTTCCCATGAAGAAGCGAATGAATCAGGTGGGCTACTTAAATACTGGTTTGGAACTCCTGACGATACTGATGGAAGAAATCTAGCCACCTGCTGGTGGAGAAATCGAGAAGATGCAAAATTAGGTGGTGGTGGAAAAGCCCATCGGAAAGGTATGAGAGAAGTAAAGAGTTGGTTTAAGCATTGGCAAGTAGAAGAATATACCTTGAAGATTTACGAACGAGCTAGTGGCTTTTCATTCGACACGGCCTAAGCATATGCAAAAATCGTAAAGCCACACTTGCTGCTGAGGAATGGAGTTCCACAAAACCCTTACTATGAAGTAGGAAACTTACTCATTAAGTAATTACTAATAATATTTATATAATACGCTGTCAATCATCTCTATTATAAGTAGATTATAGTGAATGAAGAATCAATTGGAATATAAATCGTATCATATTTAATAGGAGAAAAGCCTCAATTTTTATCAAACAATTTCACTGCAGGGTTTGATTAAGCTACATTATGTCGATAACAGTTAGAGCGAGTAGCGAAAACAATGGGGACCTGTCATCCAAAAATGGCAAAATAGTGGAAGAGGAATGGAACGTATCAGATACTGCTCTTTCGTCAGATTCTACTTTATATGAGAACTCTGGATTCAGTGAACGGTATTTGGAAAAATCCAAATTGCTATCAATCGCAATTGATGAAATAGGATTTGGAAAATACCAGATAGGACTTTTCTTTGTGGCAGGATTTGGATGGCTTTCTGACAATGCTTGGCCTATTGTGACTAGTTTAATATTACCAAGATTGGTAGAAGTTGATGGAGTTCATGCTCCAGTAGGAAAGGGTCCATACTTGACATTAGCCCAGAATTTTGGATTATTAGCGGGTGCCTTAGTGTGGTCTTTGTCGTCAGATATAATTGGAAGAAGATGGGCGTTTAATTTGACGTTTTTATGTACAGCGATATGGGCTACGGTTGCAGGCTCATCTCCCAACTTTGCTGCTATTGGGGTTTTTGCTGCATTGTGGAGTTTTGGAGTGGGTGGAAATCTCCCCGTAGATTCTGCTATCTTCATTGAAAACTTGCCATCTCGCCAGAAGTACCTCTTAACAATGATGAGTGGGTTCTGGGCTTTAGGACAAATTCTTGCAAATTTGATTTCTTGGGGGTTGATTGGGAATTACTCTTGTAGTGATTCAGATACAGTGTGTCATAAGGCAGATAACAAGGGATGGAGATATTTCTTGTACACTATGGGGGGAATCACCTTTTTAATGTTTTTTTCTAGATTTGCATTCAGAGTGCTAGAATCACCAATGTTCTATATGGCCAGAGGAGACGACGAAAAGGCAATTGAAAACTTATACAAAATCGCTAAGATCAATGGCCGACCTGTTAGTATAACATTAGAGCAATTGCAAGAGATAGATAGAAAATACGGAGATCAGGAGATCGTTCCTTCGAAACATGCACATTTATCTAAATACAAATTGACTCATATCAGAGATTGCTTTGCATCTCGTAAGTTAGCCATTTCAACATCTCTTGTTATATTTACATGGGGTGTAATTGGTCTTGCGTTTCCGTTGTATAATGCGTTTTTGCCTTCCTATTTGGAACGAAATGGTGATGCAAATAAACCTCTTCCGGTACATTTAGTGTACAGAAATTCATTGATAGTTGCTGTTATAGGTATTCCAGGCGCTATTGTTGCAGGTATCTGTGTTGAGTTGAGAATCGGTAGAAAGGGTACTCTTTTCATATCCTTGATTTTAACTGGTGTTTTTCTCTATTGCTCTACGACTGCCACTACGAGCAATGCTAATCTAGGCTGGAATTGTGGTTTTAGTTTTTTCTCTAATATAGTGTACGGAGTTTTATATGCCTACACTCCAGAAATATTTCCTACAAAAATTAGAGGCACAGGAGTTGGTCTTGCTGCTTCATTTAATCGTGTTATGGGTATATTTGCTCCAATTATCGCAATTTACGCTGATATAACAACATCTGCACCAATTTTTGTCAGTGGTGCTTTATTTATGTTTGCTGGACTTTTGACATTACTATTTCCATATGAACCTAGAGGTAAATCGAGTTATTAGGACTGTTTTAAGAAGAATGTATAATTTGTACTGTGTATAGCTGAATAAAATTCGCAATCGAGTTTAAAGCTTCCGAGTAGATACTTAAGACCAAATTTCATTTGCTACTTTCAAGATTTTTCAATTGTATGGCATTTGATCTATTCGGCAAAGTATAAACTACTCAATTATATTCCTTATACAATGGCATTTACTACTGAACAAGAGATTTTTCAATTTCAAGGAAGATTGTTAAAATTGTCTCATTCATCCCTGACTACGAACACACAGATGGACGTGAATGTATTTCTTCCACCCCAAGCATTGGAAAACTCCACCTCCAAAACTCCAGTTTTAGTCTATTTATCTGGATTGACATGTACCCCAAATAATGCTTCGGAGAAATCATTTTTGCAGTACTTTGGTACTAAATATGGATTTGCCGTTGTTTTTCCGGACACTTCACCTAGAGGAGCAGGTATTGCAGGAGAAGACGAAACATATGATTTTGGTACCGGTGCCGGATTTTATGTTGATGCTACAGAGGAGCCATGGCTGAAAAATTACAACATGTATTCTTATGTTCATAAGGAATTATTAACTGAATTAGCTAAACAGTTTTCTCAGTTAGATTTCGAAGATAAAATTTCGATTCTTGGTCATTCCATGGGAGGATATGGAGCCTTAGCAGGTTTTTTGAAGAATCCTGGTAAATACAAATCTGTCTCTGCCTTTGCACCTGTCTCAAATCCCCTGAGTTGTCCTTGGGGAGAAAAAGCATTTGGTAACTACCTAGGAAAAGATAGGCAAGCTTGGTATGAATACGACCCAACACATTTAATTAAAAGTTATTCAGACAGAAACCAGCCTGACATATTAATACACCAGGGGTCAAAGGATGGCTTTTACTACAAGGACCATCAATTGCAGCCTGAAAACTTTGTCAAGGCTGCCCAAGAATCAGGATATAAAGGGAAAATTGATTTGAGAGTTGTAGATGGTTATGATCATCTGTACTTCTTTATCAGTACTTTTGTTGAAGATCATGCTAAGCATCACGCTAAATACTTGGGATTATTAAATTAGGGTACAGTAGATAATATGTAGCTATACTTAATAAAAGAAGATTATGACTAAATATCATGAGCGAATCTATAAACCTTCTTTAAACTTAGAGTCCCACGCAACACACCATTTGACTTTATTTTCATTTGATTTATTAACATCTTTGACGATTTTAATTAGCGTGTTACACATCTTAGTAATTTCCTTCGAATTCATTACAATTTCTTCGGCAATTTCTTTGCTTAACATCAAATCGACAATAAGTGTATCTATTTTATTGACAAGCAGGCGTTGAACTTCATATATATTGTTGATGACATCGCCAGATGTTAATGATGGTAAAGACCTAGTAACTGATGTTAATAATAATTTAATTAACTTAATTTTAGATAACCACAATTGTGCAAATTTAATCAATTTTTCTTTTTCTTCTTTGTTTCCATTTTCTTCTGCGGTTCCATTTGTTGGAGGAACTTCTGCCTCATCACTTTCGTCATCACTAAAGCCAAATGGATCATCGTCCATATCGAAATCATCGGGGTTCTCAGCCCATTCTTCGAATTCATCTAATCCATCTTCTATTAAAATTATGCTTTGTTTTATTTTTTTAGATAACACACCTAATTCCCCGTCTTTAATTAGTTTGGATAACGTATCACAATTTGACCATATCTTCCCGACCGAAACTAATCTCCCATCAATTTCATCTTCATCGTTGGACTCTGGAACTTCTTGAGGTTCTTCCCCAGAATTTACTTCCACTGTAACCAATTCATCTGCAAATTGGATATTGGATTCTATAAGCAATCTAACACTATTTAAGATTTCTTTGTAGAACATAGTTGATATTATTTTGTTTTCCAACTGACTTATAAGCGAGATTATTAAGACTAAACTTTCAGATAATTTTTGCAATGTACTAAATGCAGCATCTGTTCCTTTAACAAGAGTCTCAGGCTTGAAAATAATACCAACTTTTGTCGTATGAGCTCTAATTAGCTTTGCTAGCTTGTCTAACTCTTCTAATGGATTTGTAACTTCTGCAGCTTTTACTTCCGAGAGCGAGGAATTAGAGCCGTCAAGGCATGTCTGCCAATACTGCAAAGCTTCTTTAAAGGAAAGGATTAATTTATTTAGATCAGATCTATCCTTTGCCATTTTTATTCTTCTATGCTAATATATGGTAGATTAAGTATCGATATTCTAATCGTTTATTTTACATTCAGATGAGTTTAAAAAAATAAGTTATATACACACCATTATTAAATTCAGAATAACAGTGATCTAACTAATAATCGGATCACCAGTCATCATCATCGTCTTCATCATCACTTGCTGCAACCTTACCTTTTCTTTTATTAAGCGCTGAAGCCAACGCATCTGCCAAACTAGCTGGTTGGCCGGTTCCTGGGGCACCAGAAGCTGCACCAGAACTTGGAATACTTGGAGATTCACCTTTCGCCTCTTGTAGCAACACGCTAGGCTTCTCAAGCTGAGATTTGTCAGTCTTCTTAAGAGCACCAAGCCCAGCACCTCTAATTGATGCCAAAAGAGCATCTCTTGAGGGATCAACCGACGGCAATGGTGCAGTTTCACCAGAACCCATATTTGAAGGTGGTAAGGGAGGAGGTGGGGGAGCACCTCCAGTAGTAGTAGGTGGTAACGGAGGAGGTGGAGGGGCACCACCAGTAGTAGTTGGTGGTAAGGGAGGAGGTGGAGGGGCACCACCAGTTGTAGTAGGTGGTAACGGAGGAGGTGGAGGTGGGTGAGAAGCTCCTGTGGAAGTAGGAGGGACAGGTTGTTGCGGCCGTTGACCAATATTTTCGTAGGTCGAGGGTTGGCGAGATGGTGGAGTTTGTGAGGGTATCTGATTATGTGTGGGTGGGAGTGGAGGTGGATTGGATGCATTTTGATAAGAGGATGTTGTATGCTGTTGACCTTGTTGGACTGGAACATTTCTAGCAGCTCTTGGAGGAGGTGGAGGAGGAACACCTCTAGCAGCTCTTGGAGGAGGAGGTGGAGGAGGAGCACCACCAGTTGTTTGGGGAGCATTTGGTATTGTTCCTACTCTGGGAGGAGGAGGAGGAACCCCAGTTGCTTGATTAGATCTCGAGGGGGGAGGAGGTGGTACTGGCCTTGCTCCTTGAGGAGGAAGAGCTGGCGGAGCATTATGTGATTGAAGTGAGGGTGGCTGATTAAATTGTTGAGTAGGTTGCATTCCTTTTCCTTGGTTTGAAGGACCTGTATGAGACATTGAAAGGCCAGGAACTGGTGGTGCAACTGCTGTAGCTGGAGGCAACCTAAACTTAGGTTTCGATTCAGCAGGTTCTGCATCAGCAGGAGAAGGAGAAGGAGAAGGGGAGGGACTATGTGAACCTTCTGTAGCAGGGCTTTGACCTGCCGTCTGGAAGTTGAAGTCATCAGTTGACGAGTAAGCAGATGGTCCTGAAGATTTTGCTGGAGGTGGAGGCGGAGGTGGAGCCTTTTTGCTCTTCGTCAAAGAGGAAGAGGATGTAACCCTAGTAGAAGGCTCAGGCACAAATTCATTTTTTTTCTGTAATTTACGAGGAATTGGAGGCTCTAACCCGACTAATGGTCCTCCTTGTTGCGCAATGTAATTCTTAATAAATTCTCTGTTATCCGCAATCATATCCTCAGTGATTCCCGCTGCTTCTAACTCTGAGTATAAGGATCTCCATTCAGGTGGCGGAACATCATCATAATACAAAACTCCCTTTGCTCTCCGCGACCGCTGTGCCGTATTAACATCCATGTACTCACCCCTTGGCCCTGGCATGGCGTGGCCCAGTGTCGTTGGATTGGACTGTTTCAACGCAATTGCATTTTTATTATTAACCGTCTGCTTCGATCCATGTTTCTGACGTCCTGTAACTCTCTTATAGAAGTGGGATGCATCATTTGTATCCTCAAATAACAACCCTACCAAACAATCCTCTATTTCAAATGTATGAAAAAATTTCCTATCCTGATAGTATTCAAAATCAATGTACAATTCTTGATCCCAGATAACACCCCTGTGTCCCAAAATATCAACTAACTTCAAAAAAAATGTATGTCCCACCAAATCATCAACTAAAACTATAGCGCCTAATAATTCTGTGTATTTCCATTCAGTTGGATCAGGATAAGCAATATATAATCTTGCCACAGTAGCATCAATAATTTTATTATTAGCTTTGGGAATGACTCTTTTAATCTTTTCCTTATCGGCTTTAGTCAAAATACCCATCGTATGTTACCACTTATTGATTTCCTTTCTAATTGACCTTTATAATACCCGCTATAATACTTAACAGAGGGTTGGCTATCTCTTGAACAAAGTGTAAACTGTAAAAAGTCTTGATACTCGGGAATCTACAGGTTAAGTAAAAAATGATAATTTTTCCTTTTCTCATGTAAGAGCATCTATAGATATTAGAGTGAGTTTCATTACATTCAGCGTATTAATTAGAGTCAACATGTCAGGTCGTCAAGGAGGTAAACAAAAGCCATTGAAGAATCCAAAGAAGAAGCAACAGGATGAAGATGAAGAAGACATTGCTTACAAGGCTAAGCTTAAGGCCGACGCTCAAGCTAAGAAAGAATTGGCAAACAAGGCCAAAAAAGGTGGCCCATTAGTTGGTGGTGGTATCAAGAAGAGTGGTAAGAAATAGAATTAGCGGGTAATTGGATATGGTATGAAGGTTGTGACATGTACATGCAATTATTGATGTGAATCCGTGTAATTGTTCCAAACATATAATATGTAGTAGTACATACAGACAGACTGAAGTAAATATTTTTAGCTTTTTTGAATAATTGTAGTAGAGTATGTGAAAGGTATGTAAGGAGATATTGTTGATTCGAATAGTAACGATTATCAGATATTTTGGAATTGAAAAGTAGGGACAAAAAAAATAGACGACCTCGGTGAGGGTCGAACTCACGATCTTGAGATTAACAGTCTCACGCCTTAGCCAACTTGGCCACGAAGTCGTACTTTTAAATTCGAGCCAGTTTAAAATTCACAAGAGTGCTTATTTGAATGCCAGCACAAGCTTCAAATATGAATCGGTTGAGACGTCATACCAGCATCTCTGTCACCTATAAGCATAACATAATCAGGACAACACAATCCATAGAGTGATATGAGTATTGAGACCGCTAGGTCTAGGTTGAAGAATAAGCCAGAGGTACTTGTGTAGTGATTTGTACGACATTTTGTCGTTAACACGACATTCGTACTAGAACAAAATTTTTCAAGTCGCTGATCATAAAGTGTACGACTAGCATATTCAAAGTATATCATAAAACACATAAGGGGATGCCATCGTTACAGAAATTTCATGCTAACGTAGCACGTCATGTTAAGCTGATGGACAAAAATTTATGTGCCAATTTAATCCGTCATGAATACATTGTTACCGGGAGAACAAAGGCTAAGAGATCACAAAGTAAGATTGAACGTTTCTTGAGTAGAGCTGTTCATGAAAATAAGCATATGTCAGAGAAGGATGAAGAATTCAAACTTAAGAATAATAAAGCATTTTCTTTCTTACAACCCCCAGATAGACAAGAAGTCGGCTCAAAAGTGCTCAATGAGTTGGTGGGTAGATACCCAAAAAGAACCCATGGGTTCACCCGTATTATAAAATTGGAACCAAGATTAGGGGAAGATAAAGCTCCCATGTCCGTTTTGGAATTAGTGGATTCTGACTACGAAATAAAATTCTGGTTCACAGCGAAGATTGTTGCGAGATTAGAATTGCAAGGATTAGAGTTAGACGATTTGACTAAACATACCGTGTCTAAATTGACAAAGTTCCGTGTCAACGGTAAGGATAAGTTTCGTGAAGCTGTTGAGACTGCTAAAGTTGAATTTTTCAAGTATGATCCGGAATCTGGCGAAGTTACTGATGCTGACATGAAAGAAAACTTAAAGAACTTGCCAAGAAACTTAGAATATAATGGAGGTTCTATGTCTGGTAAATTATTAATGTCCAAGAAATTTAATACCATTCCTAGACCAGAGGCTAAAAAAGTTGATCTTCCAAAATCTCCATTCTTGTCATCATAAATTTCATTTTAAATATTTGTAATGAATAATTGTATATAGAATATAATCCCCATCTATTCATTTGCACAGAACTATGATATAATTGTAAATAACAGTATTAGGTGCTATTGTAAGATTGAGATATTGTGTAATACGAATGAGCATATAAGTTTTTCTCTCACGCATTAAAATACTTATTATTAACTTTATCATAGACATCTCTAATGTTGTTTACAAATAATGAAATACATGCAGAAGGCAAACTTGCATTGATTGTTGGTGCTTCACAAGGGCTTGGTGCTGATTTAGCATTGAAACTTTACCAACAAAATTGTTCAGTCATACTTGTTGCAAGAACAGAAACTAAATTGGTGGCTCAAATAGAGAGAATCCAGAGTTCTATTCCTGAAAGTAATGCCTCGCTAAGTTACAAATGCTGTGACGCTTCGAATTATGAAGATTGTGTGAATTTATGGAGTGAATTGGTTATAGATCAACAGCAAGATCCAGACTTCATTTTTTGTTGTGCTGGATCATCCGTCCCTAAATTGTTCAGTGATTTGACAGCCAAAGATTTCGCAATTGGTATTAATACCAATTATAACACCGCTTTGAATATAACTCATACTGGATTTAAACAGGTTCTTGCCCAGTTCCCTAATGTTCCTTGCGATCAATTCAAAAAGCGTCATGTTATTTTTGTTTCATCTGTGGTGAGCTTTTATCCATTTATTGGATACAGTCAATACGCACCATTAAAGAGTGCAATCCAGTCACTTTCTACTATATTACGTCAAGAATTAGGACCTTTCAATTATCGAGTTTCGTGTGTATTCCCAGGCAATTTTCAAAGTGAAGGGTACGAAGAAGAACAAAAGACTAAACCTTCAATTACCAAATCGATTGAAGGTTCAAGTAAACCTATTTCGGGTGAAGATTGTGCAGACATCATACTTGGTAAGTTGAATGGGGGATATGATACAGTTACTACTGATTTTATTGGGTGGTTATTAGGATGCTCGGTACTAGGAGTCTTACCAAGATCGTGGGGCTTTTTTCAGATCATCATTTCATTTATATTCCTGATTATTGCTCCGATTGCAAACTGGGTAGTTTATAGAGATGTACTCCAATTTTTCAAAACAAGAAATACAAGCGATGTTGATGAGTATGAAATCGTGAGTCCGGATGATAACAAAAAAACTCTTTAATTACATTTGTATCAATAACTTTGGTATATATCTAAATTATACACATTTATGACTGGATTGTATCTAAATAATCATTTTTATTTCTTTTCCACTACTGAAGCGGCGACTTTGTCTGTTAATTCATTGAAGGTTTTGTCAGCTTGAATTCCCCATTGGTACCAATTAATTCCATATATCCAATTAACCATTTTAATTATTTCATCGTTCCAAATATCTTTGCAAGTTTCAAATGAATTCAAACGTGCGGTAGTATTATGCTGATTACTGATTGGAATAACTTCTCTTGTAATATCTCTGTCTGAAAGGATCCTATTATTTATTATATTGTCTGAAGCTTTCAAGTGAGTTGATACGAATTGCAGATTCTTACGGAAATATTCTCCAGTATAATAAGTTAAAGCAGAAGTCAATAAGACTCCGCCTAAGAAACCATGAATCCTTCCTCCCATTTTGATTTGTTCAGTGTTTTAATATTGAAATATGCCTATTCTTCATTCATTCATGTTTTCCAATCATGTTGAGAGATTCAAAAGTCGTATGTCGTAAAATGTCGCAATCTTTAATTTATATAGCTAGACTTGATCTAGAGATTCGAAACTACCTAAATGGTTCACATATATTGTAGAATATTAGTAGGAATGATTAATATATACATGTAATTATTGAAAGACGAATCATGCTTTCGGTCTTTGCATCTTTATCTCACAATTATTCTTCGTTAGCGTTGGCCTCTTCAATTGTCTTACCAAGGGCTTTCCTCAAGAATGGGAATATTTCAACCTTATGCAAGACTACATTAGCACCTCTATTTCTCAATTCTTGGACTTCTTCGATAGCTTCTTCGGTATCACGCAACAAGAATGGTAACTCTTCGACAACACCATTTAATGGTGTTTGGAATTCATCAGCCTTTTGTGGGTTTTGATTCAAGTATCTCTTTAATTTCAAATTGGCGACGTAAGATAATCCTTCAACAAACTTCACGTTAATGTCATCTTCCAAATTATAGTCCTCTAATTGTGGTTGAATTCCGAAGAATGCGTACTGCAATCTGATCAATTTTTCATTGAATGAAACAATCTCAGAAGAGTCTGCATTGATATAATTATCTTCAAATTTTGATAAATATTCCTTTTGGTTTTCAGTGAAAGTTTGGACTCTTTCATATGCAACTTGTCTTTCTATTAAAACTTGTTTAAGTCTTTTTTGTGTTAACGTTAATTTATCATCAAGATCATTATGAGCATGTGTTGATCTTTCGTTAAAAGAATCTGCCAATCTAACTTCCCTGGCCAAGATGTTACGTTCTTTGAGAATCAAATACCATAACTTGTGTAAATCTTCGAATGATTTACGACGCAATTCAGCCAACCCCCATGGACGTGATTGAATTTCCAAATCGACGGTTTCACGAAAGCATGTTTCTGACTTGTTACCATCAGGGAAAAATGCCCACAATGGGTGATCGGGTGAAACATCAAAATTCTTGTGGGTTGGGACAATAGGTTCTCTCAATCTTATTGACTTTAAGTCTGCGAATTTCAAAGGCTTATTTCTAGCCAAATATCTCGAGCTCCCCAGAAGGAATCTTATTGAAAGACAAGAAGCCATCTTTATATGATCGGTATATTATTGGAGTATCAATTTTATAATATTGAAGTCTATAGACATGATGAAAAATTTTGGTTGTAGACATTTTCGAGTTTTTTCAACATGCGACATTAGACGACATCATATACGACATTGTTCTTTTTCATAGTAGACGGTATTCATCATTAATATAACGATATATTATTGTAAAGAGAAGTAACTAAACAGTCAGAAATGTCAACTGTAAGGACGGAACAACAACAACAAGAACCACTCGACTTAGTTCGTTATCAATTAGACGAATTAGTCTTGGTTAAATTAAGAGGTGCTCGTGAAATGAAGGGTAAATTGCAAGGATACGATTCCCACTGTAACATGGTATTAAGTGATGCAGTTGAATATATATACGATGTTCCAGAGGGCCAGGAACCGGTTACCAAAAATACTGAAATGGTTTTCGTAAGAGGAGATTCTGTGATTTTGATTAGCCCTGTGAACTAAACATACAAAGAAGTACAATAATTAATATAACGAAGTTCGATTAATTGAGCGGAACATCCATCTGTATAATATGTTGAGAACTCATATGAGTTTTTAAATCTATAGTAATATATATTATTAAAAAAGTTAATTATGTAATTCATACAATGCCTATGACTCCATCTCGTCGTCAGATATATCCATAGAATCATCAAATTTGCTTAATGTCTCTTTGATAATATCTAATTTTCTTGCGTTGATACTCCATCTTTCCTTGGATTCTGCACCATGCTCAATGACATCCTTTATGTTGACGATTAAATTTTCAATCATTTTATCATACTCATGGACACTGGTAAGCGACGTAGCAGTATCAACTGTAGCAGATTTTGAAACATCATAAATATACTTATCTTCTTCCAAAAGATGAAACGTTCTCCCATTTCGCAAGTGTTCGTCGATGTAGCGGGTTATATTCTTTGGTTGGTTAATATCTATGACGCTATTAGGGTCATCTTCATTATTTGTATTCTCGTTGCTTAAATTTTTCAACTGGTTCAATTTGCTATCTACATCACTAAATAATGTTTTCATGTCGTTAGAGTGAAATATTAAAGACTGTATATCTATGTCTTTGCTGTTTTCATCTGGTTCATTTATACCCTCGCTTACGATTCTGTTCATTCTTTTAGCAGTTCGACTATTAAGTCCATTTTCAAAGCTCTTGAGTAACAATCTCATTTTATCCAATAATGGCTTCTGGACATTTTTTAAAGTGTCTATTTCTGATTCTAAGTCTGTCTTTCTTGATAATAATGTATCATATTGTAAGTTGAGCTCTTCGATATACAGTGGTTGAAGATTCTTTTTGATATCGAGGTTCAGATTTATATTCTTCAAATGTATCTTATATATTTCACAGGCTTTATCAAAATCATACTGTAATTGCTGAATCTTAAATTTATTCGAATCGGATACCAGCCCTTCTTTCGTGATTTCTTGGGAGATTGTAGTACTCAACTCTAATATATCTTGTCTGATTTTCAAGTACTGCTGCGCTATTTTATCATAATTTTTTAGATGGTTAGCAATAACCTCATCAATGAGGTCTTGCTGTTTATTTGTAATTAATACCATAATAAAGTACTTTGTATATGTGCATAATACAGATGGAGACATCTTTTGAAAGATTTAATATTTCTGCTATAAATTTAAATACTGCATACTATACTTATTGTGGATTTGCTCCAAGAGCCCACCCTAAACCAGATACAAATAAATTAGAAAGCTTTTCACTAGCTTGACTTGTAGTATTAGATGCATCATTCATAATGTCATTAGCTAAAGTAGCCATACGCTCAGGAACAGCATCATTTGAAGAAGTTGAGCCCTTGGTGTAGTAATCTTGGTGCAGATTTAAATACCAATCTTCGATTTGACTATTAATACTTTCCCATTGTGTTAAAATAACTCTACTATTGTCAATGGTAGTATCAGATGGCTCAGTGAATTTGAGGGTCTTAGACAATATATCCCTCTGCTTTATTAATATGTCAATTTTATCGCTTTGAGAAGAAGAAGATTCATTAAACCATTCGGGGGAAATAAATTTACCTACTTGATAAAACGTGAGCCAAAACTCATTCAAGTTTTTGTTCTGGTCTGTCGAATAATGGTCAAGTAGTTCATTGGACTGCCTGTATGCAAATTGAAAATTATTATCAACTAATGCAGACTCGATGCAAATGGATTTCAATTTGTTGAAGTAAAAAGTGGGCTCTGCATGTTCATCATTAAAGAATATGAGGAGATCGTTCAAAATTTTGTATAGCTTTTCAAATGCCAAGTATGATTTAGGATTTTGTTCTAGAATCGTAGAAATCAACGCCATAGGGGAACGTTTTTGTTCATCCAAATCAAGACCATCCATCAAGGACACTGCACCAAATTGACTGATTAAGTCAGATGGAACAAACGGGGATCCCTTTTGAATAACAATCTTAAAATTTTTTATATTGGATACAGCTTTGAATAAATGTTTAATCCTTATAATTTCATCCTTACAAGTAGCAGATAATTGTTCATCGGAAGAAATTTTATCAAATAGTTGAATACTTTGAGATGCTTCATGTAATTTTCCAATTTTGCTATTGAAATTCGTTGCTTTATTGAATGATTCCCAAAACTTTTTCAATATAATGGAATAAAAATCATCGACAGTTATAGGCAACTCCTTTTCTTCATAGAACCCACCAACGACATCAAATAAATTATTGAACAAAAATCTGTCAATAATGAGCCTATTAATGGATTCGTTATGGGTTTTATCATTTGAAATAAACGAGTCAGTGAATAAGCGAGCAGAAGATAATATCATGGACCAGTTGTTACTGTTAAGATTGGTCATTATCTTAGCTACCTCACGTTCACCGGTTGTGAAATCAGATGTAGATGAATACTTTAATTTTAAAAATTCAAGAATTGTGAATTTACTAGTAGGATATAATTTTTCGCAAGTTATAATAGCTTCCTGAAGAAAGTTCACCGACGACAGACTTGGATTGAATAATTCCGTAAATGGGTTGGAGGAGTCGTTCAAAAATGAGGCAAGGCTGGATGACTTATCTAATGACCCAAAATCTATCTTTTCCATAGAATATTCAAATTTTCCACCATTTGCAGCACCTATTCTTTGTTGGATTATATCTAAACTATCTTTTATCGAATCATATATTTTTAGCATTTCGATCGATGACACTTTCTCAGATGTCTCATAAAATATCGCATAGTAGTAGCAGGAACCCAAAAAGAACTTTAGTATATCTTCATATCTTGAAACGTCTAGAACATTATTCTTATAGTCCTTAAAATAAATGATAGATCGTATTGCATTATTCCATATTGCATATTTCTTGGAAGGTTCCTGATTATTCCATTCTCCTCTAAAATAAAGCCATTCTAACAAGGGTTTAAAATCATAGTCATGATACACAACTAATGGCATAACGACCTTAGAAATCCAATTGTTGACAGATAGTTTTTCACTATATGCTGGCAGATTCAAAGGTTCAATGAGTATATGTAACTTTTCGTTAAACGATTCCGCTTTCAAGAATTGGAAAAGATCCAATAATGAATTATTATTAAGCGACCCATAATTGTTCCAATAGTACGTGAAAGGGGTAATAATATCTCGATACCATTTATCAAATGGTGAATAACCTTCTAATATTTCGAAGAGTGGACTTAAATCCCCTATCTCAGTACAATACTTTGATAAGTACAAAGTCTTAGCTTGAATGAATTGAAAAAGCAATTCATTGATTGACCCATCAGTAGTTACTTTATATCCAAATTGTTCACATTGTAGTCTATTATCTGCGGCCAAATCATAAGCAGTTTGAAGTAGTATGCTATCATCAAGAGAAAATATAGCACTGTCATCGATTTCGAAGCGACTGGATATCCAATTGGCAAATTCTTCTAAATCCTCATACAACCCTTCAGACGTATTCGAATTCCCATCCGGAGACCTTGCATAATTTACAACACCCTGGGCAAACCTTGCGATATTATCTATTGAAATATATGACCTAGTTGGATATGTAAGCAATAGTCCTAGTATATTATGAAGATTTGTGTATGTATGAGGCTTTCCAACAGCCATGTCTGAACCCAAGGAATTGAAAACATTTGATAAGTCATCAACTTCAATACTAGTTGAAGATGAAAGTAAATGAATGATACTGATGTAAGTTTTAGCATCAGCTATTAGTATATTATCATCATTCATAATCAGTTATATATTTAGATCAATGAATTATCAACATAAATATAATTCAGTTCTGGTATCAGTTTTTCAAGTTTTCAGTGCTTCGCGTGAATTTATTTAATAAAATCTCCTACCTAAATATAACAATTAATGCAATAAACGTTGTAATTGAATCTTATGGTAATTGATAATTCTACTGACATATAAAACATATTTAACAGTATTTTATTTTATGTCTCGTCGGAGTTTTATATTGCTGGCGTCATATTCAAATACTTGGCTCATTCGTAGCTATTCAACTTACAAACAACCCAAAAGCAAAATCACCAACAATACAGCCAACATGTCTGCTAACTACACAGATTGCAGCAGTAGAAACTATGATAATAATTTACATTATAGTGGAAATAGAATTGTGAATTCTATGCATATACCCATTGAAAAGAATAAGCAGGAAGTACAAGATGCAGTTGCAGGGATTGATTTTTCTTCTTCATTTAGTGACGATACGAGTATGAAGGGATTTGAAGAAGAGAATTTGGAAAATGATGATATGGAACTGTCAATAGCATTTTCTGATGACGAAGCGCTTTTACAAATGCTTGATTCTCGTAAATTTAATGCACTGCCGTTACAGAAAGATGAAAATAATGATAATGATAATGATAATGAGTTAATATTCAAGGACTATAATTCAAAACGAATGGTATTATCTCCAGAAAAATCACGGATAAATATTATAGATAGTTCCTCTCCAAAACACAAAAAAATCAAACCAGAGCCATTTATTACTGCACCTGATTATATTATGCTGCCAAATAAGCCTACTGCTATAGAACCACTTTCTAATGTCCAAAACCAAACACGATCTTTTTCCACATCGGCCGTAAGATCGAAAAAATTGAGCAAAATATATCCTACGATTCAACTTGCAACCCAAAAAGCCTTTAATATTGAAGATGATCTGAGTATACAATCAAACTCAAAAAAATCGGCGGATACGATTAAAAATGTGAAACCAATAGTACTATCTGGTGAACAAGAATATGTTTTGCAATTGGCAACAAATGGACAGTCGCTCTTCTATACTGGTTCAGCTGGTACTGGTAAATCCGTATTGTTGAGGTCGATTATTAAATCTTTGAAAAAAAAACACGAAAAAGGAGATGTAGCAGTTACTGCATCTACTGGGTTGGCTGCTTGCAATATAGGTGGTATTACCCTACACAGTTTTGCTGGTGTTGGATTAGGGGATGGGAATGTAAGTGCATTATTGAAAAAAGTAAGAAGAAATAAGAAAGCTTATAGTAGGTGGTGTCTGGTAAAAGTTCTAATTATTGATGAAATTTCGATGATAGATGGTGTATTTTTAAATAAATTAGATTCTATTGCTAAAACTTTAAGAAGGAACAACAAGCCGTTCGGAGGCATACAATTGATTGTATGTGGAGATTTTTATCAGTTACCTCCAGTGAATAAAGTAAAACCTACAAAACAGATGAGTATTGATGGACTGGATTTTATTGAAGAATCAATTTTTGCATTTGAAAGTCAAGCATGGAAAGATTCAATCAGGTGTACAATTATACTAAAAGAGGTTTTTCGACAGAAAGGTGACCAAACTTTCATAGATATGTTGAACGATATGCGTAATGGCAAAGTTAACAATGATACCATTGCAGAGTTTAAGAGATTAAGTCGTAAATTGGAAAATCCAGACGGTATCGAACCAGCGGAATTGTTTTCAACAAGATACGAAGTTGAAAATGCAAACAATACCAGGCTTAATTTATTGAAAGGGGAATCACAGATTTTTAAAGCTATAGACTCTGGTTCATTGCCTACGGATCAAAGGCAAACAGTTCTAAATAACTTCTTAGCACCACAAAAGCTTTTCTTGAAAAAAAATGCACAAGTAATGTGTATCAAGAATTTTGATGAAACTTTAGTCAATGGTTCATTAGGTCAGGTCGTAAATTTCATGGACAGAGATACATATATGCATTATCAATTGATGAGAGAAAATCCTGAAGCATCTATTAGTGAAATAGAAAGTGAATTCAAAAAATGTAAAGAGAGAAAAAAGGTCATCGATGAAGTAGAGGCAGAGCATAAACCGTTATCTTTGAATGATTCTATTTTTGATTTTTTGGAAGATATAGAGATAATGGGGGGTCTGCATAATGTTGAATTAGATGTGCATGAGTTAGCATTCAAAACTAATAAGGATAGAAAAGTTGATTTTATTAAAGCACTACATCAGAATTCCAGTAAGCTGAAATATCCACTCGTAAGGTTTCTACTCCCTGATGGCTATAATACTAGGGAGGTGTTGGTAGAGCCTGAACAATGGACTATTGAAGATGAAAATGAAAATGTTTTAGCCCGCAGAGTACAATTGCCTCTAATTCTTGCATGGTCTTTGTCAATCCATAAATCTCAAGGTCAAACACTACCAAAAGTGAAGGTAGATTTGAAGAGAGTTTTCGAAAAAGGGCAAGCGTATGTGGCATTATCGAGAGCAGTATCACGAAATGGTTTACAAGTTTTGAATTTTAACAAAGATAAGATCATGGCTCATCCTAAAGTCAACAAGTTCTATGAAAGTTTATCCTCGACAGAAGAGCTCGCATTAAGCACAAGTGATTTTGTAAAACCACATTTATTAGAGCCAAAAGATAAACGGCACAAGGAACGGAGTATGATATAGTCAGGAATTTTTTACAATAGCTATATTCTGTATAGGAATTTATAGAGTTAGAATATACTAAATTAAAAGATGCAACTTTGGATAATATATACATTTATAATACAAGGTATCTATTTATATACATGCTTGTTTATATCATTCCGTATTCTTTGATAGAATGATTTATCAATACCATAAGCAAGTTCAGTAAAAGCTGGTTGTTCTTCACATATTTTAGTTAACTGTATCCTTTCATGTAGCTCATTATAGAGTATGATTTGACTTAATCGCCGGAAATCGTTTGATATTCTAGATTGGAAACATTTACTATTATTCCTATTACAAGCATTTAGCACAAACAATAAATTCCTTACTTTAGAATTCGACAGCGAAGGCATTTTAGATAAATAAAAAGATGATAAGTCACTTATAGGATCTTCAATCCCAGCAATATCATTGGTAGCCATATCCTTCGAACCGAAGGCAAGTTGAGGTAACAATGATTCCATTCCAATTACTATTAAATTTGTTAAGCCACTAATATTTTGTCCAATCAACTGATACGGATAGACAATAATATTAGTCCTAAAATCGTGCTCTTTTGGTGACTGTTTTAAAAAATAGTTTTGTAAAGCTAGGTAGTCAAAGCCTGGTGTAGTATCTTCACTAACGGTGGTAAATTCATTGGAATTAAGGTTTGTAAATTTATCGTGAGATAATTTATCTTTATTCAATTCATTTGAAAGTAATCCCACGTCAATAAAAGGCGGTACCACGATCAATATAGGATTAGTATCAAGTGGATATTCTATCCTAAATTTCAGAATCGTTTCTCTTGCTATTTCAGTAACGCATAACTGATTATTAATTCTGTCTGTCTTTGATAAGGTAGATGTGGATAATATTCTGTACTTCAAGAAATCCTTCGTAAGATTTTTGATGTTATTCCCTGAATTTTCAACATCTTTCTCTAATACTGCAAGTATATTCTCTTTTTCAGGTAAATTCTTAGCAATTTCGACATCTCGCAACATTATTTCCTTATGATTCCTTCTTTTATTTCTTGCTTCAATAAAATATGTTTGAACCTTGTCGGTTGGACAACTGAGCTTGTTTCCAGAATTTTCATTTGAGACATTAAGAGTTGTGTTATCAAGATTAAACGACCCAACAGATACAATTTTTCTTTCTTGTTTTCTATAAAATCTTTTAGAATCGTCAAAACGAATTAGCTTTTCAATAAAATTGACTTGAGAATCTTCTTGTTTTTGGTCATTTCTTGTTGCTTTCTCCAATAAAAATTTGCTATACTCTTGTTGTAATTTGTCATCACTTCTTGAGTTGTGTATTTTTTGAAGTTCTTTCATTATAGATTCATCTATAGCCTTTTTATACTTCTTGTTAGATAGCTGTAATAGAATTTGTTGATAACTGTGTTTTGAATGAAAAATGAAGCAATATTGAATAGGCTTATAAAGAACTTTACGCTTGACCTTAATTAGCTTTTTGAGCAAGCTTTCATCGGGCTTGGCAGTTGTGGAACTACCATTAACTAATTGTTCAATGTTGATAGAGACACTGCTAGTAGATAATGTATTATCTTCAAAAATAAACTTAGCGTGATCAAACTTATTGCCTGCAAATGCTTCTTGATTGGCACTTCTATGTAAATATTCAACGTGTTTCAATCTGCGGTATAAATTGGAAGAATAATACTCCACCTGAGATGTTTGCAATTGACGGATTACCTTCTCAATTTTATTGACATACTTCGATTTCTTCCCACTCTTAACTAAATTTGAATTATTCACATTAGAAATATTTGTAGTATTAAGTAAAAAATCCGTTTCATCGATTGCAAAAAAACGGACTTCATTCAAATTTTCTTTCGTTATGTTACCCACTGACTTCCCTTCATTCATTATTTCGTAGAGCCTACTAGGTGTAGTAATTAACATTTGTGGAGTATCAGAGGAATATTCAGAATTATTAGAGGAACAAAGTTCTTTAGAAGTTCCATCTGAATACAAAAATTTGACTGTTAATGGCTTTCTTGTCACAGAATAATCATTTTGACTTGCGTCCGCTAATAACTTATCTGGGCAACACATTTCTGGAATATCCTTCGTAAGCTCTTTAGCGTAAAATTCATACTTTCCTATTAATAGGTCTGTTGGGGCTAAAATGATGGAATCAATGGACTGTTGAGATTTTGTATTTTTTAGAGAACCGAAGTTTGGAACTTTTGATAGTGTATGGTTTAATGCGTAAATAAGTAATGCTAAAGATTTCCCAGTCTGTGAAGATCCTCGATGGATCAAACTGTGTTCTGAATTTAATATAGACAATAAGGTTCTTTGGTCTGGCGTTGGAGGTACATTATAATCTGGTGCCGAAGTCACGCTATTATGACGAGGAAGTAATAGCTTATTCAACTTTTCTTGAAAAAATGGTAGAATTCCAAATGAAGTAAAGTCAGTTAAATCATCGGAAGGGTCAAATTTTAAGCTGGCAACTTTGTCAAAGTTGATATGTTTCTTTTGTAGAACTTTAGATGGGATAGATGCATTATTATGGACTATTTGGATATAACGCCTATGATAAGCCCAAGCATCTCTGGAACACGCCACTCTTCCAAGAACACCATTCCTTAGTAATCTTCTTCGAGTAGTCTGTATATACATGAATAAGTGGACTAAGTAGACCTATTTGTTCCTTAGATATTTTGTTACCTAAAGTTCTTCTCATCTTAAAAATATGTAACATAAATTTATATACAGATCTCAATATAACTTCCAATGCTATATTAATATAAATAAATATGAACAAAGTATATGCTAATATGACTCTATATAGAGCTCCTTCTATATAATGATTTTCTTTCTTCACCAGATCTAATTCTCTTTCTATCAATCATACCAGCAATCGGTGGAATTTTACCAGTCTGCTCCCACCTGGTGAGTAAATTGTCAGCATAAGCCATACCAACATGATAGATTTCATCAAATTTTGCAAAGTCTAGAGTAGCGTAGTCATCAATTGGAGGTCTTAAATAAATAACGCCTGGGGTCTTTTTTGCTAGTTCTAAAGCATTCACACTTGCAACATATGCTAACCTTAATTGTATATCCATCATATTTGGTACATTTGGATGTCTTGAGAAAGGGTTCCATCTGTTAAATAAGACCCAGAATCCAGATAAGGTATCACCATAGTTCATTGGAGTTCTATCATCTACAGAACCAACATCTACAGCAATGATGTATTTTGCACCTTTTTTCTTCATTTCCATGACTGGCAAATTATCTAAGTAACCACCGTCCAATAACATGCTTCCACCGTATGTAATTGGAGGCAACAAACCAGCCAACGACATTGAGGCTCTAATAAATCTCCACAGGAAGCCACTTTCATGAATATCCATAGTAGAATTTGTGATATTTGTAGAATTGCAGAAGTACCTAATCCAAAAATCCTCTATTTCGCTCGATCCAAAAATCTTCCAAATACCTCTATTGAATTCATAGCCTGTGATATAGGATGTCACTGGATATGTCAAATCTAACACCATTCTCCACCAGGAAGATACTCTCTTGGAAAACCGCTTGGCTCTACCATAGATAGAGACAATGTTATAATCTTTTGCATATAATCCTCCAACAAAAGATCCGATTGACGTACCCCCTATTAAATCAATAGGAATACCATGCTTTTCTAAAGCCATTACCACACCAACATGAGAAATACCTCTGGAACCACCTCCCCCTAGTACCAAGCCTACACTTTCGTTAGACAAAATTCTTGCTAATCTCAAAAAGTCGTTCTTGTGGGCCTGCACTGTCTTGTAAGAATGAGTTCTGCGATTCAAACGATTGTTAAATTTATTTAATGATGAAATTGCCTTTGTTTTCACATTTTCAAGCCTAGATTTGATATTAGGATTAGTTCTACTACTTATTTTGGCAGCAATATTTTTAATGATGCTTGTTTTCCTTACTTCTTGTACATTATTATTTCTAGCAATTTCCATTTGAATATGGTGGTGTCCCTGCACCCATATACGATTCTTAAGCCAAATACTAGTTGAACCAGGTTCAACATACTTATCGGCATGAATTAAACATAAATCTGTTCTTGCCGTAGTCTTTAACTTCATAAGCAATCTTTCGTATTCGCCAATATTTGTTGCCACATCGTCGTCGTCAGCATCTGCTAATAACAATATACAATCACCTTGTGATATACACGTTGAAGTCCAATTTGATTTCAATGGAGTGTCACAAACATATACAATTGTTTGGTATTCTTCTTCTAAATATGCGAAGTAGCCAGATAACTTCAACTGTGCTAATCTTTCGTCAAATGCATGACGCCCAAGATGAGTTAAAGTTGATGCCTGGTCTAGAGCGATAACGTTACGCCCAATATTCTTCAATGCCAGGACTAACTTATCAGCAAATTCTCTAACTGGTAGGCCGCTAACTGTTGGCAATATTGTAATGGTCTTATAGTCATTCGAGATATGAGAGTCTGTACTTGTTGTAATGAGAGGAACATTACTACTTAATGTACTGGAGATCCCCATATTATCTTCTTTTGATGCCATTTTGCTCGCAACGATTCTTGAAACTTTCACCATGATAGACGGATTTCGCAATGATAGCATTTCAAAAAGAGTTCTTGGAATTCTGGCAGTTTCGGAATCTCTAACAGCAATTAATGAATTGGTTCTTCTAGAAGCTGTCAACACTTCAACTTCACCAATTGTTTCTCCATGGCCGTATTCTCCTAGAATAGTTATATCATCCTTTTTCTTGCGAGACTTATAACTAAGTGATTCGTCAATCAAATTATTATTATAATCATGTATATCCGTACTATCATCAGGATTGACTTCAGATTTTTTGGTATTATTGTATCTAACAACTCTAAACCTACCACTCAAGACAATATGAAAACCGTTTGCCAAATCTCCTTGAGAACATAATACATCCCCAGCGGGAATATGACACCACTCTAAAGCATAATCTATAGTCAAGATTTGACTTGATAATAAACTTTTCAATCTTGATGCAACAGGTAACTGTAAAAAGTAAAACTTATCTAATAGTTTAGAAAATTCGCTCTTAGGAATATGGGCAACAATAACTCCCTTGTCTTCGGGAGTTGAAATCGACACTAACGAGCGAACTCCTATGATAGAACTTAAATAACCTGCTAATCCACCAGATTTTACAGTATATAATTTCTTCTTAGTAATTGGGGTTATGTTTTCAGATTCTTTACTAGATGGCTTATAAAACACATTCAATGTACCGTCAATAACATAATATAGACCTGAATTGAAAGAATCTTGTTCAACAATAGTGGTATTTGGAGCAAAATATTTAATATTCAAATGCTTGGAAAATTCGTTCTTCACATTATAAAAGTTCGACTCAAACGACTGTAAGGGAATGGATTTTCTCTTAAACATTAAATTATTGATGTCAACTTGGCTTGACCTATCATTCTCGTAATTTACGTCTTTTAACTGCGATTGGTTTATGGTATTATAAAATTTGAAATTATTGTTTGCACCCTTATTCAACGATGTTGGAAAGCTGCTAATTGAATCATACCTTACTTTACCTGTTTGGTAATCAAAAATTCCATTCACATGTTTATTTTCGTCACCATTATTCATGAGGCTTGGCAATCCAACTACTGAAGAATTAACCGATGAGCTTCTTGAATTCAAACCTGATACGCTGCCAACCATATTCGAAACTTCGTTAATACCTAAAATTTTGAAAATATTTTCAATGATAGCAATTCGTAAGGAGGTTTCTTCTGTTTCTTCTCTTTCATCAGAGAATGTTCTATCTCGTATATTTTCAAATTTTGTGGTGGAAGATGAATGTGTTTTCAAAGTGGGTGCTCCATTTGATGATATTTGACGTTTGGGCAAAACAGGAGAAGAAATCTTAGTTCTTGGTTGACTTTTAACTTCTTCAGACTCTGGTTGAACAGTGGTATGAGTTTGATAATAATCAGATCGCCTGGACAAAGGTACAGAAGAAAGCAAGTCTCCCGGATGTGTTGATTTTGAACGAGAGTCCAACACAACATATCTTGAGGATTGATTCCTATTTAATGGCCTTAGGTTTGTAGTCGATTTTTTAGGTAATGAAACAGAACTACTGGATGTCTTATTTATTGATACGGAAGGGTTTTGGGCAGTTTTGCTTAAACCAATTTCATTACTTTTATTTCCATAAAATTTTTCAATAACTCCATCGTATAAATAACTTGGTAGGCTATCTTTTGCACTTTCAGATTCGTTTAATTGGATTTCACTATGGATAATTTCTTTCGTTAAACCTAGATAGCTATGTATTGTATTCATGGTTATCTTGTATAATCTAGTTATAACCATAGTTACAATGTGTGATGTAGCCTTAGGATATTTAGATTGAACTTTTTGAAATGCCAGATAAGGAATAATTGCAATTGTTGCGGAATTGATATGATTTGAATTTTCAGTAGGCTTGGGTCTTGCAACAATGTTAGGGTAATTTCGATCACTCGAATTTAAAGATGTATCATTATAATTACCTGAACTGAGAGGATCGAATGATCTTGAAGCCGCATTATCAGGACCAGTGTTATCGGGACTCAATGGAGCTGAATTGGGATTGGAATCTAATTCAAAAGGAGAAAATAAATTATTTGACACGGTATCAGGGTATGCCGGCTTAAACAAATCTAAAGTACTCATTAGTGAAGATAGTGATGACCCACTTTTCACTTCATTCAATAATTGGTAGCAGTGATCTCCAATTCTTAATAGATCGTCTTTTTCGAAATTTAATTCATTGTCATCACTGTCTGAAGTTGAACTTGAATTAGCATTATTGACCTTCGTATACACCTGAATTGTACCCTCTACAACGATCAGAAACCCCAATTTTTCATCTAGATATAAGATTTCGTCCTGCGTTAACTTTTGTGTGGTCATGTTTTTAGTTAATTCATGGAATACAGGTCTTTCTAAATATCCAAACACCTTAATAGCACTTAAGAATTCATCTAAGTAATTTGTCGATCTCGAATCTCCTCTCTTCTTTTTCTTTATAGAACCGACCAAATCGATATTTTTATTTGATGGCTTGGGTTTATCGGTTGATTTGGTTGTCTTAGAATATCGCGTAAGATACTTATATCTAACAATCAAGAAGCAAAACGATATTATACCTGTTAAGGTAATAATAATTGATGATAAAGACAATGTAATTTGAAAATTAACCGCAAACAAATTGATTATTATATTAGGAATGTAATACAAAAATACGTTCATTATCTTGAAGAATAGCCACAGCCAAAACCAAAAGATTGCACTAAAAAGTGATATCGACGAACTAGAATCTCTTGCAGATGGTAATATAAATTGCAGCGACACGGCAGAATGAAGTTCTACATTCTTAGCCGCGGTACTAGTTATATCAACTGTACTCATCTCGAGAATTGAATTGCCTAGTGAAAATAATTGATTGATAGTAATCAAAATTAGTACCGGATCTCCATAAAGTCATATTGCTACATTTATGTACAGGATTATTCTAATTGTATGGAATACCATTCAATAGTTAATCCTAAAATATAGTACTTAACAGTAACAAGATAATGTGTATTATATAGAATTAATACTTGCAGAAGTAATAAATATAGGTGTGGGAAAAAAAGGCTAAATATCGTATGGAAGACAATTAAATCTTTTTAATATTCGTTCAATACCATCCATACCCTTGACTAATTGGTTATACTCAGGGCCATAACTGATTCTCACATAATTATACCAAATAACATCCTCTAATTTAGATAAGTTTTGAGGATTAATTAAGAAGAAAAATCCTGGTACAATAATCACCTTTTCATGCAAACATTCATGGAAGAAACCCAAACAGTTTGATAACTTTCCTGGCAAATGTGACAAATTCAACCAAAGATAAAATGTAGAGTTTGGTGTATTCCTTTCATTGAATTCAAAGCCCATTTTAGATAATCTCTGAATTATATAATCTCTTTTCATTTTGAAATGTACTTGTAAAGCCCTCATTTCATTTCTAACGAGACCAGGATTCAAAAAGTCAATTGCAGCGTATTGAAGTGGTGCATTTGAACCACCGTCAAGGAAAGACCCGGCACTACTTAATGAGTTAATATATTCTTCTGGCCCTAAGATCCAACAAATTCTCCATCCAGGTAATCTAAAAGCCTTGGTCAACCCGTTCAAAATCAAAACTGGATCACGATTGACGTCTTGAACAAATTCAGCACTTGAAATAGAAGACCCTGAACAACCATCATCGTAATAGTAGTGGGAGTAGAATTCATCCATAATCAACAAGCATTTATCTTCACATAATTTGTGTAACGAAGACAATTGCTCCCTTGACATACACTTACCAGTAGGGTTTCTTGGATTAGATGTCAACAATGCACTCACCCCTCTCATTAATTCATTTTTGATCATTTCTAAGTGGAATTCATAATTATCCAGTTCTTTCAATGGTACCGGTATAGGCGAAAAATTCTTAAATAATGACAACATTTCTGCATACGCAGTATAGTCGGGTAAGAAGAAAGACAAGTAACAATCACTGATAATAGAAGCAATTCTTGTTAAGCCTGCTCTCCCACCTGGAACGATACACACATTCTTATAGGTATATTTAGAATGCTTGTCTTTACGGTAGGTTTCATTATACAAATTGGCAACTGCATGACGTAATTCCTTGATACCTGCAGTTGGAGCGTACTCTTTACTGTGTTCAGATATTGGGATCGATGTTGGTCTCTTGAAAGACCCAGGAATGGTATCACCATGTTCAGGCGCACCTTGTCCTAAATTAGCCCACGAATCTTGATTATTGAATCCGTACTCACCAGCTCTTTCTGTCACCCACAATACCCCGGTCGATGATTGGCTTGTATTCATCGCAGGCTTGTTAATTTCCTCATTGAACTTAGGTCTTGGGATTGGAACCGGTGATGACTCCCTCCCCTCACTTCTAGATAGCTTATTTATCAAGTGATTCTTATGCGAAGTAGGAACTGGTGGTGCTCTAGCTGATGGATGTCCCTCATTCAACCAACTCGATGTCCCACCATAATTGCCTGAGAGCGATGGCACATTAGAAGGCAGAGAATTATTGTTCAAACTTAGCAAAAGCGATGATGCCGATCTTTTAAGTGGTTCTGGTAAAGTAGACTCGAGTCTTTCGAATTCGGACAAGCTTTCGTCGTCAGACTCATTGAAATTGAAGTTTGACATGGTTATTCTGTTGAGTCAGAACCTACTACAACCACTTAATCCCCAGAATTTTTCAAAAAGGCATGAGTCTATAAATGTCGTCAAATGTCGCGATGTCTTAAGTATGGACCACGACGACATTTTGGGTTTTATGGTCATAGATGATTTTGCATCCATTATGCCTTTCAGCATTAGTCCACATTTTGTTTCCTAGAACCAATTGCACTAAATGCTACTTCCTCCTATAGCAAATTTATCACTGTTTATTACAATCTAAACAATATCTAGCATGTCTATATTTGTACACCACGGTAGTAATCAATTTGGTATATTTGTTCCTTATGCTATGCTTTCCCTACCCCTCTGCTACAAAATCCAAATTATTTCACGCAAGGTCTGTAATGCAACAAGTATTATCTACGAACCATGTCCAATACATCTGTATGTGACATTCTGGGTGAGCTGCAATTCACCGATTTATTACAATACAACTGGTGCCTCATGAGTCCAATCGGTGAAGTTCGCGCAAATGTGAACGGCATTCTATCCATAAAATTTTTATCGTAAATATTGATACCGACATAGAAGCAAGGCATTAAGTTTCATCGCGGGTTCCGACTATGCGCCTGCGGTCCTCCCCGTCTCCCATAACATAGAATATGGAAAAAAAAAGGCGAAAACGACGGAATATCACCGATGAAACAATTCGGACTAGTGAATCATACACGTGACTAAGTCTGCTAAGCGGATTAAACAGATGCCATAATGACCTAGACGAAAAGGATATGTGGGATATAACTAATAAATCTTTTGTTGTTTTGATTATATATAATAGATATATAATAAGTATCATTTACTACATGAGTTGATGGGGTATCCACAAATACAGGGGTCATATTCTAATTCACGATCACATCCATTTGTATCATTATCTCCGGTATCGTCGTACGAAAGCGGCGGACAGGCACCAGGAGCGGACGAAGAGGCCAAGGACGATATTGGGGGTAGTAGTACGGATTATGGTAACTTCTCGCCTCTTCTCTCGTTGCCATTAGAAATTTTGTATCAGATCATCGAGATTGTGTACTACGATGACAACACGACGTCAATCAACTCTAACTTGGAGAATTTTTCAAAGACTATTCCCCTTTTGCTGAAGGCACTCAACACTATTTCACTCCGGTTTCTCTATAAATACGCTAATTTCAACCGGCCACATTCGTTTGACAAGTTTTTGCAGAATTTGATAAAATATCCAACTTTGGGTCAGTTCGTGGAGTTTATGGATTTTCAGATCTTCACGTCGATTGGGTTGGGTCGGACAGGAAGAATGAACCAGGAAATTCAGATGGTGACATCCAAGACTATTTTGCAGGCATTAGAGTTGACTCCCAACCTAATTGAATTTTTGGCAAGCGAAAACATCCAGGATGATTTGGACGAGCATGTATTGAATTACTTATTTAATAACTTGCCCAAATTGCAAGCGTTAGACTTCTGTGGTGCAAGTAGTGAGAGCTTCATGTCTGCATTCCAAAAGTTGATCATCAATGACCCGATTAATGAATTGGATGATGACGAAGTTGTTCTGAAAAGCAGCTTAGAAAACCTTTTTAAAATATCATTTCATGACTGTTCAAATTTACCTCCTGATGTTTTTATCAAAATCTTGCCTCACTTACCTAATTTGCGGAGGTTAGATTTGACACATACTTCCATAACATCTACCATTTTGAATACTTACTTACCTCACTCCATTAAATTAACGCATATTTCATTGGCAAAGTGCTCCAAATTAACCACCAAAGACTTGATAAATTTCTTGACTAATCATCCTGCAGTATGCCAAAATCTGTTGATTTGGCTTAACTTGCAGATTGATTCTAATATGGTAAGTCCTTTGAATGAAGTATATTTATATTATACATTAAAGCATTTAAAGGCTGAAAACCTTCGTTATTTGAATTTAGGAGGTTTGCCTTTGAACGGTAAGATATTGAGGTTAATCAAGACAAACTTCACCCACCTTGAAAGCTTATCCTTATCGCATTCTTCAATTGAATTAAATGACGTCAATGAGTATTTAAATGAAAACAAAAGTATCAGATATTTGGACCTCACTGGTTGCAAGAAGATAACTAGATGGAATTTAACTCACATTTTAAAAGCTAATTATGATTCTCCCTTATCAGCAATAGAATTTGACTATAAACTTTTGTTTGAATTAACTAGTGGCGAGTTTGTCAAAATTTTACCATTACAATCTTCCAATATGAATTTGCTTTCATACGAAACTAAAGAACCAGAGATCTGGAAGTTTTATGACAATGAAGGACGGAGATCCTGGATTTACAAAATTGTCCCTGGGGATCCTAACTATAATTCCATTCTAAATAATAATAACAAGGCTCTCGCTAATTCAAATTTAACCTTCTACGATTTAGAAACTGGTGAAAAGATTGTTCAGAGAGTTAAGAAACCAGAGTTCTTGAAATATGCTTCCAGAAAGGTTAACTGTTCTATTGGCTATTTCAATCTCAATATGGTTAAAAAGAAGAACTACATTCAAAACAAGCTCAATGAAAACATTTGGCCGGTGGAGTTCAGTCAAAGAGGGATTTATAATTACTACTCATTAAACATCAAATAAGAGAGTATACTACAGCATATTCATTATCAGTATAGCATTTTTAATTAGAATTACTGATCTTTATTTTATATCATAATAATTTGTATATATAACATCATCCATGAATTAATAGGTTTTCTAAATATCATCTAATAAAATAATTATTGAGCTAGATTTGTACCATTAATAGTTATCCTCCTATTTAGTATGATCTTGTGATTTTTTAATAAATAGAGTGCTGCGATTATAATTTTGGTTACCGAGGCCGTTATGTGGGGCTAAAACCTTTCTGCTACTGTTTTCTTTTCCAACACTTTCAATAGTATTAACTATATCAATTAACTAACATGACACAGCCAGATATTACAGAAATCAGGAATTCATTCGATGAACAAGGTTTAGAAAAATATTTGTCAAATTTAAGTAGTGCTTCTCAGACTACATTTGGGTTGAATAAACCTAATTTCAAATTACCATTGACTATTAAACAATTCAAGTTTGGTCAGTCTAATCCTACATATTTCATCACTGATGCTAACGGATTTGAATTTGTATTAAGAAGAAAACCAGTTGCCAATGATAAGTTGGTTTCTAAATCGGCACATGCGATTGAGAGGGAATTTTTCATGTTGAGAGGTATTCAGGTTTGCAATGAATCAAGAACTAAAAAAGTGCCCGTTCCAGATCTCTATTTGCTATGTGAAGACGAATCAATTATTGGCTATGTCTTTTATCTTATGGAGTATGTTAAGGGAAGACAAATCAAAAATCCAAGCATGCCAGGTATGAGTGAAGCAGAAGCAAAATTGCATTGGGACTCAATAATGGAGACTATCCTGGCAGTACATTCCTTAGACCCTGATACATTGATCAAAGAGCTTCCTGCAAATCATTTCCCTCAATTTCAACCAGAAAAGATGGCTAAGAGCAGTGGTTCATATTTTCAGAGACAGATTAGAACTTTATCTTCAGTTGCAAATCTTCAATCAAAAGTGGTGGATCCGATTCCACATTTTGACCATATCTGCAAATGGCTTTTAGAAAATGCACCTAATGATCCATCGAAGAAATCATTAATTCATGGAGACTTCAAGATCGATAATGTCTTGTTTGATGTAAACGAACCAAAAATAGTAGCAGTTTTAGATTGGGAATTGTGTACTTTTGGTCATCCATTATTCGATTTAGCTAATTTCTTACAACCTTTTCAATTGCCCAATCAATTGAATTTATTGCTTTATAAACCTGATAAAACTGATATGGGGATTGAGAAGCCTGGCTCTCTTGATTCTATTTATGATAAGTTGGCTATTTATCAATCCAAGTTGGGCTATAACTGGAATGATAAAGAACCCTCTAATAATGCTTCAGATAATTGGAATGTAGGGTTTGTATTCGGGTTACTTAGATTGTGTGTAATCTCCCAGGGTATTGCGATGAGAGTTGCAAAAGGAAGTGCAAGCTCAGGTGATGCGGCAGGATACGCTAAATTGTATCTTCACCTTCCTGATTTAGCGCTTGACACTATTGATGGCAAGGTGCAAGACTCTAAATTATAGAATAGACTATATAATCGTATTAATCATATGCTTTCTGAATCAGATTAGGCCAAAATAATGCAATGTGAATTTAATTCGCGACCTCATATGAAATTTCAGTATTCACCAGCTTGCCCTAGTCTTTCGTACCAACTATGACATTGCAACACTTTAAAGAGGTTGATGCTAATAAGAATACGGATTCTTCTATCATAATAAGATGCCCATTTGATTCTTGTAATACCCGTATTATTATGTTATCTGACAAACTTTTGTCAAATAAGTTAAACATCCAAAATTCACCAGATATGGTTCAAATATCTGATAATACAGACAGTAAAGCAAATGAGTTTTTCAAAATAAATGATGTATGGGACTTTGATAATATTGGAGTTTCAAGACCTTCAGATGATATCAAACAGCCTATTATAGAAGAAAATAATAAAGTGCTCAATATTAAGATAGAACGATTGTTAATTTGTAGTGAATGTGATAAAGGACCTATTGGATTTGCAGGATTAGAGGAAGATGATACAGATGTAAAGAACTTGAAATACTTCTTAAGTTGCAACAGTGTATTATATGATATTAAATAATCATTTATTTTTAACTTAAACAGAATATAAATTCTACATATAAAAATGAACTCAAAGGCGAGCTTGTGGTTGTAATTCCTTACTGATACCTAAAGCAATAAGTCTTGCTATACTCATAGTAGAAATCATTGGGTTAGCACCACTTGCTGTAGGCATAGCACTAGCATCGGCAACGTAGACATTCTTACATTCATATAGCCTTCCCTTATTATCGCAAGCACCATATCTTGGGCCCTTACCAGATATACGACATGAACTCATTTGATGAGCAGAGCCATACGTACAGCCATATGAATCGAGTTTAGCTTTACTAACTGATGTACGCCATTCGACATAATCCTTGTCCTTAATTGATCTTTCTTCCTTAGGCTTACTAGGTTTGAAATTTGGAACCCAGCTCTGAGGATGTATGATTTCTTTGGCGCCTTCAATATATAACATATCTGCAGATATTAATATAGCCTGTAATAATGCGTTACGATCATATTTGTTCACTTCGTAATCAATAATTAAGGAATTAGGTTTAGTAGCATCTGCCTTAACAGTACCACTTGATGTATCTCTAGTTATAATTAACATTGCCGCCATATTATTGTAGCGGAGCAAGTCTTGACGCGCCTTATCACTTGATTCCCACGGCATAAAAGCGGACTCTAAAAGAGGAGTGTGCAAAATGGTTTCGATCTTAGCTCCATGAGCTTTGCCATCCAAATCATCAACTTCAGTACATACAGTGGTTAAAATTGACTCATTAAATGGTTTAGTATTATGTTCCTTACCAAAATCGCCAAACAAAACAGTTACAGGATGTAATTTTAAGTTTGCTCCTATATTCTTATTCTTGAATCCAGAATTTTGCAACACTACAGGTGTGTTTAATGAGCCACCACAGACAACAAATTTCTTTGGGCCCTTAATTGTAAATTCATGGCCAGATACTGTATCTTGGCATAAGGCACCAACAGCTTTACCACCTTTGTGAAGAAGTCTAACAACTTTAACTTGATCCATAAATTGACAGCCCTTAGTAGAAGCGTCTCTGAACCAACATGCTGAGGAACCTTGTTTGACATTAAACTTACATCCTAAGTGGCAAAATCCACAACTATGATTTGGATGATTACCATTGTTTTGTTCCACTGGTTTTGCAGTGTATCCCAATTTTTCAGCTCCATTTAAAATGACTTGATTTGAAAAAGAGTGTTTAATGTCCTCAATTGTTGCGCCCATTTTTTTCCAGACATAATCAGTACATTTGTCATACAATTCGTTTGCTGCCCAATCTACACCGAAATCATCGTACCATTCTTTACGAACTTTGAATGGGGTTTTCAAGCACGCTGACCAATTAACAGTCGACCCACCCCCAAAGGTTGAGCCTGCTAAAATCATGGTTTGCTGATTCAACGTAGTCAAAATACCTCCATGCTCATATAAGTTTTTATTACCATCTTTCTCATCGAATACCAACTCAGTCTGGTGGAAATATTTTCCTTTCTCGAGAACAAGGCATTTATGTCCATCATTGGATAAAGTGTGTGCAACAACTCCAGCCCCTGATCCCGATCCTATAATTAAAACATCAATATTTGGTGCGTATAATTCATCTCCAGTTGGGTGTTCCAACATCTCATACCGAAAAGGATCTATTTCAAAACTTTCATAGATTTTGTCTCTCATCTCCCTTCCTGGGTACCCAACTGCCTGGTTGTGTAAATCAGGACACAATTTGATAAAAGTAGAAATTGATAAGGCATATATTAATTTAAATAGTCTTCTGAAAATTTCTAGGTTTGAATTCTGCCATGATTTTAGTAATGTTTCTCTTTGTTCGTAACTCATATCCCTTATTAAAGTAATTGATCCTGTCAAAGTTGGTGCCAAGACCCTTGAGTCTAAGACATTCATAAGCAAAATGAATGTTCTTGATGATGAAACCGGTGTACCGTTGACACATTCTTTAATAGAATCTTTATATCCTGGTACTTCTGATGGTCTAGTAAAAGTTTTACAGTACTCTTCTAATCTATCCTTATCGAAATTTTCATCAAGAAAGGGTTCGATGTTCTCAGGAGTGGTTGCATGGACTATAGCATCGGCCAAGAATAAAAACACTTCAACGTGCTTATCTTCAACCACGTACGATATCATATTATATTCATTAAACTATCGTAATATATCTTAATATGTTGCTTAATACGTACGTATATATATTAATATAAAAATAAACTGGTGATACGATAGTGACCCCACGCCGAGACGCTTGTGAAAGTTGCATTGTTATAAAAAATTTCATGTGTGAACCAAATATCTGCAAACAAAATCTATCGCTATAAGACGGCTAACACGGAACAAAATGGCCAACATTATATGGCATGATTTATGAAGCACTTTTGTTAGGTAGCTATTGTAATCTTGGTAATTCAGCGAATTCTGTCGGAATTCCTAGCTCATTTCTCAAATCCAGCTCTTCGATAGCAGCCAAGGAAACCTTGGTAAAATAGTAAATCAATGATTCAATATCATCCGTATATGTTTCAATTGCCAGTATAAGACGTGCATTCTTTTCATTCAACGCCTCAATTAACTGAGGATCGTTATCACCATACTTTTGCAATTCTTCATCTAATTGTTGTTTACGATTATTGAGGCATGTGAATTGCTTGATCAATTTGCTTCTATCACCAAATTCTCCCTTTGGAACTCTTTGTAACTTACCCAGTTGGATCTTTTCGATAAGCTGATCTCTTTCTAATTGCTTCTCTTTAAGCCTTTTCTGGTAATTGTTATACTGAACTTGTAAATTTTTAATTTTGTCAAATTTGAAACACCAGTATAAGTTTGTCGTACCACATTTTTCACAATTGATCAAATTGTCGTCTATCAATTGCTGAACTATATCTTTTATAAGCATTGATGATATCTTAGCGTACTTTGATCCTTCTTTTTCGATTTCTTTCAACGTATAGAATGTATGACTCTGATTGAAAAATTCATACAACTTTTCTTTTTTGTCTTCTGCTGATAATCCTTTCTTTGGTGCCTAAATCTGTTAGAAGGTGATCTATCCGTAACCTAGTTCTACATACCATAATTGAATTACTGTAATTCTGTTTAATCAATCTATATTTTGAGAGTGTTGCAAAAAGAGAAACTGGCGATTCGTTTCTTTTTATAGTCCTACTGAATACAATGTCCTATGTTTAAGGAGAAATAGTAGAATAAATTAATAAGATAATAACTTGGATTAGTTCATATATGTATGCTTATACTTCATTAAGCATTGATCATTTATTCTAAAAGTACTAAATTATACTATCTACAACAATACACTTTTGGATTTAAAGGGTTCATTCAAATTTAAATATTGATAAACCAGTTTATTTTTATGTGATGTATACAGCTTAAATGTCAATTTGGTTTTCATTATTCCATTGAATTATGGCAATAACATTTTTAATTAGCCTATGTGTACTGAAAAGTTGCAAAAATCACAAAAATCTACAAAATCTACTCTAAAACTTTTTCATGGAATTAGAAAGATACGAATATAGACTTCTAATGCAGAGATGAGGAATTATATCTTTTGTATAACGCTTGGGAATGGTTTGCTTTGAATATTAGTGACAATGTGTTGATCCTAGTATTGTGATCCGAGTACATATTAGTTAGATGTGTCACAAAACCACTAATATGTATGTATGCTTCAGTTGGCCACAAAGTACTTATTAAACAAGGGAAAGTAGAGATGCCAGTGGTACTACAGGGTATTTGAAATATCTAAAATGCATTTATGAAATATATGGTTAAAAATCTTAACTAACTAGCCAGCTAATTAATCAGTTAAGTTTCTTGAGCTACTACTATTTATTTTCAGAAGCAGCAGTGGATGTAACACTATCCTTCTTATCTGTTATATTTGTAGTGGCACCAACCTTTTCTTCGTGAGATGAAGGATATGAAGCTAAATCATCTTCTTCTTGGAATTCAGCACCTTCAAATTCAGCATCGTATCTTTGCATGGCGTATTCCCTGGCTCTCCATGCTGGAACTTCGAATAAGTGATCAATAGCTTCTAATGGAACACCCTTGGTTTCAGGATAAAAGAAGAAAATAACTAATGGGAACACAATCATACACGAGGCGAACAAAAAGTACAAACCGTATGAAGTAGCTTCGAATGCTTGTCCAGTAAATCTACCCATAATGAAAGCCCAGAACCAGTTAGACGCAGCATTGACAGCTTGAGTAAATGTTCTAACTTCTTGAGAGAAAATTTCTGAATTGATAACCCATGGAGTACCATTCCACGAAGCCCCATAGAAAAAGGTCCAAATGTACAATAATCCTTGAGCAGCCTTACCACCGGCATCCATTTTAGTATTACCGGACGCTAATCTTGCTGCTGGGTTTGCAACATAAACATAGGCACCTATGTACCACATACAGAGAGAACATGGCACAGAGAACCAAATTAATGATGTACGACGACCCATTAAATCAACAATGAAAAAGATCCAAACTACTGACGCAAATGCTTTAATAATACCAAAGATACCGGTAGATAACAACCCAGCATCAGAACCACTAACACCCAAAGACTTGAAAACAGTTGGTGAGTAATAGGTAATAGCATTAATACCAGAACCATTTTGCATTGGGAATAAAGAAGTAGACATGATTAATCTAATTATTAGCTTCTTACTCTTGAGAATAGCAACTATTGGGGCAAAGAAACCATCTCCGATCTTAGCCCTTCTATCCTCAATATCCTTAGTGAAAATATCGATTTCGTGGTGAGAATATTCATGATCTTCAGGGATATTTCTTAAATATGCCAAGTTCTTTCTGGCCTGCGCTATTTTACCCTTTGAAACTAAAAATCTAGGTGATTCAGGAATAATACATGCACCTATCCAGAATAATGCAGATGGAATTAATTGAATAGCAAAAGGAATGATCCATTGTTTCTTTGAGTTAGGAATGTTTTGTAACACACCGTAGTTAATCCAATATCCAACAATACCTCCGATTTGCCACGATAATTCCCAGCATCCAACTAATTTACCTCTGACAGCAGCAGGACTGATTTCGGAAACATAAATTGGCGCAAGCCCAGAGCATCCACCGATACCAACACCAGTTAACACTCTACCTGCATAAATACCCCCCAACCCGGTGCCTTTATTTGAAACTAATGAAATAGCAGCGCCAAAAGTCAATAAGAATCCAGAAATAATTAAACCTATTTTTCTACCAAAAATTTCACCCACTGGGTACATCATTAATGCACCCCAAAATGCACCTGCCTGGAAAACAGACACAACGTTTGCCTCAATAAGAGTTGCCTGGCTACTAGACATCTTGTCCATACCAAACTCTTCCTGGAAACTGGCCAACGACACAGTTCCTCCAATAAAACCAGCATCGTAACCAATGATCACAGCAGCTGCAGCTGCTGTGACTGCAACAATAACCAATTTATAGTTGTAGATGGCATCTGGGATAGGAACATGATCTGCCTGTTCTCTAGCTGACTTGATAGACATAGAGTCTCCCGCATTAGAAACTCTTCTCTTTAACTTATTAATTAGCTTATTGTTCATCTCAGGCTTCTCAGTACAACTACAAATAATTTAGTCTCTCAAAATTTTTGCAAATTTCGCTTTTTATATAAATCTAACGTATGACGCCTAAGCTTAATTTCTGTTTCCTTCAAACCTTATTTTTTAGGCAAAACTGTTATCCTGGGGTCGGAAAATTATTTATTTCTTTAATACCTGAAAATTTGCTGAAAAATTTGACGACATTTCTGTACAACAATTATTACTCACGCATTATTTTATGGGGTAAAGTGGTGTATGGATGGAAAAAAAAACTAGTCATTACCGACATAATAAATTTAGCCGCCTCCCCACCTCTACACCACCTTTACACACGTCGGATTTGCAAACTTTATTACTACATATTCTCCGAAGGAGTATTTCCGGCATAAAAAAAATTTTGCCGCGAATTTTATATTACCGTCTCGTATTAGCTGTGACCCCGGGCATCTGCTGCGGACAGATTTTCGAGGATCTACGTAGTAGGATTTTGCGACAAGATTCTTCGATGACGACTACTCAAATGAGGAAACGAGTTTATCATGATAGAACGCTATCGTTAAATATATCTCGTTTGTGATTGGGTACAATTTCATTGATTCAATAATAATCGAAAAGTGCCTTTCTGGGATTGCCAGCCGTTGTAGTATTTAGCACTCCTACATTGCAGCTACATGAAAATTAAATACATTACAGAAGACGTGGTATAATAAGCGTTGAAGGAACAATGTATCCGTTGAGGCAGTATCGGCCCTTCAATTAAGACTCATTTGCTTACAAGTAATACTACGAGAAAATTTAAAAACGGTTATTAATTTAATCTATAGCTTATAAATATTCCAGAAATAACATCTGAAAATGTACTTCTGGATGGCTTCAAATATATAACCATGCAATTCTATCAATTAAATATCTATGAATTCTGTTTGTCAGGAAAATGGGCTTCATGGAAGGATTGCTCTGAACTCGTAGGCTCCGCTGTGTACTGGCCCTCGTATTCGAGTTCGAATTTCTTCATAGCGTAGTCTCTTGCTCTCCATGCTGGAACCTCAAATAAATAGTCGATGGCTTCTAATGGCACCTCCTTTGTTTCCGGGTAGAGCATGTAAATTACGCATGGAAATAATACCATACATGCAGCAAATAAAAAGTACAATCCATATGATGTAGCTTCGAAGGCTTTTCCAGTGAATCTACTCATAATGAACGACCAAAACCAGTTTGCAGCTGCATTAATAGCGGATGTGAATGTCCTGACTTCTTGGGAAAAGATTTCTGAGTTTATAATCCATGGGGTACCATTCCATGACATAGCATAAGCTACACTCCAAATATATAACAATCCTTGTGCAGCTTTTCCTCCAGCATCCATTTGAATGTTTCCGGAAGCTAACCTAGAGGCAGGATCAGCAACATAAACGTAAGCACCAATATACCACATACAGAGTGATAATGGAACTGACATTACAATCAAGGCAAAACGACGCCCCAATTTATCGACGATGAAGAACATCCAGAATAATGCTGAAACCCCTTTTATTATACCAAAAATACCGGTCGAAAGTAAACCTGCACTTGAACCATTCATTCCTAATGATTTAAAAACAGTTGGAGAATAATATGTGATGGCATTTATACCAGTTCCATTTTGCATGGGGAATAATGATGTGGATAATACTAGTCTATAGATAAGTTTCTTATTTGAAACAACTTCTTTCATAGGTGCAAAGAACCCAGTACCTATTCTAGCTTTCTTATCAGAATCTGCAATAAAAAGATCCATTTCGTGCAACGAATATTCATGTTCTTCAGGTAAATTTCTTAAGAAAGCTAAGTTCTTTCTTGCCTTTTCAATCTTTCCTTTTGAAACTAAAAATCTTGGGGACTCTGGAATCATAAAAGTTAATATCCAGAACGTTCCAGCAGGTATTAGTTGAACCGCAAACGGTATAAGCCATTGTCTAGTGGATACTGGTTGGTTTTCTTGAACACCATAGTTAATCCAATAACCAATAATACCTCCTACTTGCCATGATAATTCGAAGCACCCAACTAATTTACCTCTAATCGATGCTGGACTGATTTCTGAAATGTAAATTGGTGCTAATCCTGAACACCCCCCAATTCCAAAACCACTCAAAACTCTCCCAGCATATATTGCTCCTAATCCTCTTTCGCTATTTGAGATTAATGAGATGGCACATCCTAACGTCAAGATGAATCCAGATACAATTAACCCAATTTTTCTACCACATAACTCTCCTATTGGGTACATCAGCAAGGCCCCCCAAAAGGCACCAGCATGGAAAATAGACACAACGTTGGCACTTACCAAAGATTTTTCATTCGAAGTCATCTTATCTATTCCAAATTCTTTTTGGAAACTTTCTAACTCGACTGTTCCTCCAATAAACCCAGTATCGTACCCTATAATGATCGCTGCTGACGCTGCTGTAAGTGCAACCAAAACGATCTTCCAGTTATATATTTCATTGGGAATAGGAATATGACCGTCGTCTTCTTTAATAGATTTCACCGACATCGAATCGCCGGCATTCGAAACTCGTCTTTTTAATTTACTTAATAACTTCTGCTTCATCTTCCATGAATATTTGAAAATTTTTAATTGAATCTTATTAGGATTTTAGATATTTAAAATACTTTTAAGCGATCCATTCGGACGGATATATTTTAACTCTATTTCCACTGGCAAAACTGTTATCCTGGGGTTCGGAGTATTATTTAAGTCGATTCCTGTGTCTTAGACTCACCCACCGCAAAAACTATGATTCAAAATCTTTCTCGATGCTGGACAATTCTTGTTGTTGCATACAGTCTCATAAAGATAATCTGCGAATTAGGATACGTGGGATCGATGTGTTTGTAATGTACAGGTACTTCGGAAAATGAATAATTCTGGCATAAAGGAAGATCTTTTTAACGTTTGTCGCGTAAACGGTTAACCGAATAGAATAGACGTAAGAGGGGCAAGGGAAAATGTCCATTTTTTAAATGCCTTTACGCAGACATATTATTTTTTTGGGGTCACCCTAATTTAGAGAACCTTAATAAATTCAAGTCTGGAGAATTGCATCGTTACGAGTTGAAGCCGTCTTTTCATGAATAGTATATTATTGTAATATTTTACTTACTATGGAATATATTGTCGCAAGAATTAGAACGTATAATTGATTAGCCAGCTAAATAATCATTCTTGAAAATATAGTTTCTCTAAATTTAAAAAACTCATGTTCTGTGGTTAACTGAATCAGTTGTTAATGAACTCCCGTCAGTTATATTGACTTGAACACCACCGACTTTTTCGTCTTCTGAAGAAATAGAACCATGTGCATTCATTTGATGATCTTCAATTAATTCACCATTTTCGTATTCTTTTTCAAACTTCTCTAAAGCGTATGCTCTTGCTCTCCAAGCTGGGACTTCGAACAAATGGTCGATAGCTTCTAGTGGAACACCCTTAGTTTCAGGATAGAAGAAGAAAACGATGATAGGGAAAACTATCATACAAGCACCAAATAAGAAGTATAACCCGAATGAGGTTGCTTCGAATGCCTTACCAGTAAATCTACCCATAATGAAGGCCCAAAACCAGTTTGAAGAAGAGTTCACAGCTTGAGTAAATGTTCTGACTTCTTGAGAGAAAATTTCTGAATTGATAACCCATGGAGTACCGTTCCATGAAGCCCCGTAGAAAATAGTCCAGATGTACAACAAAGCTTGAGCTGCCTTACCACCGGCATCCATCTTAGTATTACCGGATGCTAATCTAGCTGCTGGGTCGGAGATCTTAATGTATGCACCAATGTACCACATACAGAGGGAACATGGAATGGAGAACCAAATCAATGCTGTACGGCGACCCATTATTTCCACAACTAAGAAAATCCAAATAACAGATGCAAATCCCTTTAATATACCGAAGATACCAGTAGATAATAAACCAGCGTTTGGACCACTGACACCCAAAGATTTGAAAACAGTTGGAGAATAGTAGTTAATAGCATTAATACCAGAACCGTTTTGCATTGGGAATAATGCAGTGGATAAGAATAATCTATAAATTAATTTCTTGTTTGTGAAAATTTCAACAATTGGAGCAAAGAAACCACTTCCAATCTTAGCAATTCTTTCTTCGATATCAGTGGTAAAGATGTTAATTTCATGTAAGGAATATTCGTGGTCTTCGGGTAAACCTCTTAAGAACGCTAAGTTCTTTTTAGCCTTTGCCATTTTACCTCTTGAGATCAAATACCTTGGTGATTCAGGAATGAAGAATAAACAACCGAAGAAAATACCAGAAGGAACCAATTGAATAGCAAACGGAATGATCCATTGTTTTCTAGAATTTGGAATATTTTCTAAGACACCGTAATTGATCCAGTACCCAACGATACCACCAATTTGCCATGATAATTCCCAACATCCAACTAATTTACCTCTGATGGAGGAAGGGCTGATTTCAGAAATATAGATTGGAGCTAAACCTGAACACCCACCAATACCAATACCAGTGATGATTCTACCAGCATAAATAGCACCTAATCCTCTATCTTGGTTTGCAATCAATGTAATAGCCGCACCAAAAGTTAACAAGAACCCCGAAATAATTAATCCAACCTTTCTACCTAAAAGTTCTCCAATAGGGTACATAATTAATGATCCCCAGAAAGCACCAGCATGGAATACAGAAACAACATTAGCGGTGATAAGTGTACTTGCGTCTGTCAGCATCTTATCTAAACCAAACTCTTGTTGGAAACTAACTAATGAGACAGTACCTCCAATGAAACCCGAGTCATAACCAATAATGATAGCCGCAGATGCAGAAACAAGTGCAACTAAGACAATCTTCCAGTTGTAAATCTCATTAGGAATAGGAACATGAATGTCTTCTTCTCTTGCTGATTTGATAGACATCGAATCACCTGCATTCGAAAGCCTTCTTTTTAGTTTGTTTAATACGCTTCTTCCCATTGTCTTCTCTTGTACTTTATCTTTACTTGCTAAAGAACAAAATAAATATCTAGAATATCAGACAAAGCATCTGATTAAATACTTTTTGATCATGTACTAATATCTGTTGCGGTAAAATGAAAATCAATACAGGAGGAGTTTCATCACCACCGGAGTAGAATTTAAAACGTTAAAAAATTTCTTGAGTATATTTTTACGAGCAAATTACGGGGTTAGATACGATCGAACAATACTAATCAATAGAAAAGATTGGATTGGCGAAAATGAGAGGTGTAGAGCAATCCGGGGAAAAGTGGCAAAACCGATCACAAGATATTCTTGGGGTTGCCCACCCTTCGTTACAAGAAAATAAATCGAAACTCTGGACATAATGATTTTTCACTCTGGATAAACGATTACCCAGGCGATATATATGATACCTTATTTCTATTTCGCATAAATTAAATCGCGTTGGTGTGGGGTACTACATGAATTTCGCAGCTCCTATTGCCTGCCGGAAGGAACCTCAAGCAATGTCGTGTCATAGAGGAAAAATGTTATGGCTAAACGATATCCAGGCAGTTCCAATTGATCATTCGGCTGAAGGGCCAATGAGAACGTGCACTAAACAAAAACTCAATCTGCAATATATTTTGATTTTGCAAATTCAGGCCATTTTGGGTGTTTACAGGTTAAGTTTAGGAATTATGTCCCAATAATCTGCACATATGATGGTTCCAGGATATGGAAAAGATATACGATTATTCGTCCTCTGAAGATTCTGATACCGACGAGCTTCCTCCAGTACCTGAACTAAGCATATACCTGCAAAATTATTCGGACCAATTTGACATGTCAAGCATATTCGTGTACATTCCTTGGAATCCATCGCTCTCGGTGCTCAACCATTTGAAGCTGATTTGCAATAGAACTATTAAACATGTTCATAACCGGAATCCAGGAGTAAGCAAGAAGTACAATTGGAACATTGTGGGTGCCCCATCAAAAGGTTTAGAGGGCCGATTCAGTGTTACTAATAACCAATTGCTTAGAAGTCACCATGTTACCCTCTTTCCCAATGTCAGAGGTGAATCGTACAAGATGACGCAATATATCGAGAATATCAGTAGTTCGCTATCCAAGATGACTATTCCTGCGAGTTTGATCCTGGAGGACACCAAGGAGACTGAAAGAATCAACAATCTTAACCGGATCTTGTTCAAAGCCACATCCTCTACGGAAGGACTTGACAACAAGAAGAAGAAATACGTTTCGTTGAATTTCGAGCCAAAATTGAGTTTTTACACCAGTTCTACTACAAACAGCATATTCATAGCCGGTAAGATTCGTCTTACCCCAGACACAGCCTTATTTTTCAAGAACATAAACCAGATAATCGTGGATAACATCAAATTGCTTGATGTGACAAGCGAGCAGTCCCCTATTGAGCAAGATTACCATATATCCTTGATCCTAGGCGAATTAAAGGGATTTGAGACAAATCGGGCTGAAGTTGGAAAATTGATCCGACTCATGAAAGAGTTAGATTTTACAAATGAGCTCGACAATATTAATATTAGTATAAATTCGTTAAGGATAAACGAGATATCCTCTACTAGAAACTCCTATGAAGTTCCTCTCAATATATAATTGTTGCATTAAGTTATAGAAACAAGCATTATAAACGTCATATCTAGTCATCTGACTGATCTTACCAAATAACGCGTGGAAATTTTCCCATAGTGAAATTAAGGCACTAACATTTTAAGGATTCAACGTAAGTTCGGTGTAGATATCCACGAAATAAAGGTATAAGTCATAAAATGTCTAAGAGGTTTCAGAAGAATATCGAGAAACAATTGATTGATATAGTAAATAGTAGGGGTAACGATAATAAGTGTGGTGAATGTGGGTCTGCATATCCGACATGGGCTTCATGGAACTTAGGTGTTCTCTTGTGTGGAAGATGTGCTTCACTTCATAGAAAGGTTTTACCGAAGGATGTTTCAAAGGTTAAGTCATTGACATTAGATCAATGGACTTCCGAGCAAGTAGACTGTTTGAAAAGGATTGGAAATAAAAAGGCTAAGAAAAAGTGGAACCCTAAAAGATATCCGTTCCCCCACGATGATGATGATGATGGACCTATTGAGGAATTTCTTAAAGATAAGTACATAATGGGACGGTTTAGAGATGACAACTTTGATGCAGTTGAGTACGACGATAAAAACAGCAGATATTCGAGTGATGGTGTCTCCACTCCTGTTAGTGGAGGCAGGGTGAGATCGAGACTGAATTCAATGAGACAAAAAGGTTCGGGTCCTATTCCACCATTAACCCATAGGAAGTTAACTACATTTGAATCGACTCAATACCCAAAACAGGTGTCCTCAATATTAAGATATGGGTATCCCAATAGGGACTCTATTCTTGAAGCGTTATTGTTAAGTAATGGAAGTATAGAATTGGCGTTGGACATTTTGGACAATGATGCAAAATCAAATCCCACACAAGAAGAACTTCCTCCAGCGTTACCAACGAGACCAGCTAGATCAACTTCACTTCTGGAAAACAATCCTATGAATTCTTTACTTGGTCAGCAGTCACTGCAAACGCAACCAAACAATGATTGGTGGTCCAACTCAAATGCTAGTTCCAATACAAATACTGGGGCTACTATGCCAAGTGTCCCAACCTCGGCAAGTGGTGTATCAGTTGCTCAACCACAAATCTACCAATATACCGATCCTGTCACAGGTCAGATATCATATATAGATTCAAACGGTCAGCAATATTTGGATCCCAACAACCAGCAACATCAGCAGATGTTGTATCAACAACAAAATCCGCAATTAATTGCTCAGCAGACTAATAAACAAGCCATATTGTCACTATACAACCAGCCAAACAACTCTAACTCCACGGTGCCAAATGCACAACAACCACAGCAGACAGGTCTTGGGTTCCAACAGCAGCCACAACAGCAAGCAGGTTTTGGATTCCAACAACAGCCTCAACTGACGGGTTTCGGATTCCAACAACAACCACAACAAACTGGGTTTTCAGGATTTCAACCGCAACAAACTGGTTTTGCACAACAGCCGACTGGATATCTGAATGTTGCTCCCCAACAGCAACAACAGCAGTATCAACAGGGTTACTGGGGATAAATAGTCTACGTATATATCAAACATATCGGAAAACAATATATACTTATTGTAGAGCTAAGGGTTAAGATTAGACAAAGGTAGTCATATATAGCTATATAACTATATGTGTGCTATATGAATTGTAACTTCTCTCGTAATTCTACATGAACGCATTTTCTTCGCCACCAACTCTTTGTATGAGGGTATCATAATAAGCCTTAACTATAATAATTCTAGAAAGTGGCCATAAACCATCTAACCAGCTCCCGTTATTCCAAATAATATTATCCTCGATATTCTTTCCAGTCTACCCATGATATTGAAGTTATTGTAACTAATAATATGAAATTTCAAGATACTGCTTTAGTGATCTTGAACGAAATAATTGGGACACCTATGAGTAAATGGAAATATCAATATAAAGAACATTAGGAGAGGAATATTACAGAACTAAATGAAATGTATGTACTGAGTTCATAGTGAAGGGCAAAAGCGCCAATATTGATCTTTACAGAAAATTTAGGGATATTATATCGCTAGTAGAGATGGTTGAGATGGTTGCACATACCTAAGTGATGAAGAAATATATGATGATTGTTTGCTATATTTTCATCCTCAATACTCTCAATATTTTAAGAAGAAATATTTGGCAAATTATGTTCCAGAGGTTCCGTGAAACTCGTTAATCGCGAACCTACTCTCTGCCACAAAATTACGAGAATCATGTATTTGACTTCTTCCTTTGTTGATTTGAATCTATACTGTTAACTATAATAATTTAAACTATATATGGTGTTTTTCTTAATCTAGTTTTTGATTTTTTACTGGAAGACAAAATTATGAAGAGAATGATTCAATTTTATGAACGAGAATTTGAAAATCATTCGAAGCCTTAGATTATTGATATTACTAATAATAGTGACAAGAATAGTATCAGTCGCCGTAACCACGATTCAATTTACCTATAATGGACATACTCTTATTTTCCTTGGTTACGAATATTTTTGTGTTCCTTAATTCTATATCAATTCACCCAGTTTTGAATGTACTCTGATCGTAAATTTGCGAATCATGAATTATTTAATCGGCTTTGCATAGATCGAAACAAATCGAAAAAGAGTAAATAAGTCTTGGCATTATCTACGGCCAAAGTTTATAATCTTGTGAGTGAATGTAACCTTTCCTTACAGTATGCTACTTTTGTAATACATTAATATCCCACTATATATATTTACTTTACGAAAGATTCCTTAAATTAAGATACTCGATATATTACCTTGATTGGTGAATTAGGGAAATGTGCCAATAATTTGAAACTTGTTTAGATATAAATCTAATATATGAATTGCACAATGTAATTATCGTTAGTACCAATAAAATAGTGCAACAGATAGGTCAGAGGGCTGCAGGAAGAAGTGAATTGAGACCATGATTTATACAGTCTTTATTGTACTAGATTTATTTGATTCAGCAGATACGAATTAGGTTTAAAAACGGGTATTAATGCAAAAGGTAGATTCAGAATAGATAGGTACAGAATTTGACAACTAGAATTGCTATCGAAGGAGTGTCACAATTTTATATTTACAATTCTATGTATCCCTCTGTATACAAATAAATTGTTCTTCATATATACTTACACAAGAGAATTATAATAGCTGATCTTCAAGTTCCTAAAATTTTAGCTTTGTAATTGTCATATGTTTGAAGGTATTCTTACATCCATCATACTGAAATGATATTCATCAGCTAAGCACTGGTAATTAGGTTTAGATTTACCTTTATTTTATAAGAAGTCATGGTTCAAATTGCACATTTGTGTTTTCTATTTTAAACTAACACTTAATAGTAAAGTTATTTAAAGTGGTTCATAACCCAAGACGTCGAATTGTTATACCAAGAAGTACCTTCAAGATTTATGTTCTTTTAAAATAAAAATGATGACATTTACGTAAAGCTAATGTTATCATGTAGCGGAGTTATATACTCTCTAAAATAAAAGTCAAGAATGTGAGCTCTTTATAAATGCCTTTCTAGTTCCTTCAATTGGATTTAGATGTTGCGAAAGTACTTTTCCTTCAATATGCGAATAGAAATGAACTTTTTTTCATATTTAATCATTGCGACCAGCATAATGGGTTCATTGGTAGGTGCTCTTGAAGTGTTCAACGTTACTCAAGAGTATTTTTTACAATTTGATAAATCGTGGGAAGATTCTAATAAAAATTGGGATGATTATATGCAATTTAAAACATTTTCTTGCAATAAAACCGACTGTTGCATTTTGGGTGCAAACTGCCTGAATTTTACCAAAGATTTTACTTTTCCTGTTGAAGATTCTTTGGTAGTATTAGTACTGTGTTTTGGTCCACCATATTATTCTTATATTGAAGACAAAACAGCTGCTCTGTACGGGAAAGCGGGTGATTTGGATGCGGATGGTAGGTTTTCAAGTAGTTAGGTTATTGTATCCTAAATCTTAAATATGTGTATATGTGTAATGCAAGACTTTAAAACTAATAACATCTAGTAATTAAGTTACGATATTTGTCATATATGTATGACCTTAATTAGGTTTACGGCGTCTCCGATTAAGAACAAAGACCAACCCCATTTAACTACAAACCACTTTATAAAGCCATATAAAGAGGAATAGAAGCTATTATTTCTTAAGACTAATTATTATACCACTAACAATAATTATGTGGTTAAGTTCATATATTTTATCACTTATTTTTTTAATAAGTATATCTGAGAAGTCGCTAGTATTATCATGCTCTGGTGATGTTTTGCCCTACAATAAATTAGATACTGATGAGTGGATAATCTCCAACAAATATATCAAGAGAAGATATCCATATGTTTCTTTTTCTTGCAATTCAACTATTTGTTCAATTAAACAAATGACCGATTATACTTATCGTGACTACATCTATTCATTTCACAAGAAAGATATTTTGAAATCTTTGTTCTATTTGTTTGGTGGTGACTATATCGAACTAGTAGACTACGGTGAAACTGGTCTTCTGGAAGATGATGATGATGATGGTTATTATTATTCTTATTCGGAGAGTACTAAACCTAGTACGATAAGCACTACCGATAAGGACTCTAAGAGTTCATCAACGAATAATTGGGGCAACACACTTGCTCCTTCAATTTACTTAACCTCGTTTTTCTTCCTCTTGAATATCTGCAGTTTGTTATAATACTTCCATGTTCAAATAGGTCTCGTTTATAGTCGAAATATTATTAAAAATTGTGCAAAACCTGCATCACAAAGAATAGTCTTGGATCAATATCTCAATTGAAGTAATGCTTCTTCTAATAGATTACCCCGACACCTTTAATTGTAACATTACACAATATACAATAATGCCGTATTTCAGATTCTCACAATCTGTGCCATTTATTTACAAACGATGTCTTATTCTTGATTGTGCTTAATCTATTGTAATTTTCATAACAAAAAAAAAACTTCATTAAAGGGTATATCTCATGATCCTTCTCTTGTAATTGCAAGATGAAAAGTGGTACTATTACTTATTATTTGCACCCATGCATCACTGTATGTCAATGGCTGCAAAACATTAATAACCAAATTCTAGAAATACAAGTTCTGTAGCCATTTTCAAAACTATGTCGTCGCACATGTACAATATAGATTAATCATAATCTTGTTCACTCGATCTGTGTTGTGGAATCTAGTAATTTAGTAAGTGTTCCTGAGTAAAAAAATTCGATTTTGTGTCATTTCTAATTTTGTTAGCATTTCATCGAAGCTGCGAGTTGCTTCTAGAACTTTCTGAATTTATCGGACCATTTCTAGTGCGTTCTGGTCGCTTTTGGCATGCTCATCCCGTTAATATATAAGGATAGGAAGTCAATCGGTTTACACTAAATCTCAAGAATTACCAAACAACTAATAAGTAACTAATAAACACAATGGATGAATCACAATTTACAGATAACGCATTGAAGATTATTACAAATGCTACTCAATTAGCTAAAGACAATGCTCATACTCAGTTAACTCCATTGCACTTTTTAGCAGCAATGGTACCAACTGATGATGAGAATTCGACACAATATCTTAAGACATTGATTCAAAAAGCCAGATATGAATGGCCTACTTTTGAAAGGAATGTGAATAAGCATTTGGTTAGATTACCATCGCAAACTCCTGCACCAGATGATATAAGGCCCAGTTATGCAACTGGACAAGTATTAACCAATGCTACGAAAATAAAAACACAACAGAAAGATAATTATGTAGCTCAAGACCATTTGTTGTTGGCATTGTTAGAGGACAGTTCAATTAAAGATGTTTTCAAAGAAAGTGGAATTAATGTTGATAGCATCAAGACTCAGGCCATTGAATTGAGAGCTGGCCAGAGAATTGATTCAAGACAAGCGGACTCTTCTTCGTCGTATGAATTCTTGAATAAGTACTGTGAAGACTTAACAGAGAAGGCTAGGGAAGGTAAAATAGATCCTGTCATAGGAAGAGAAGAAGAGATCAGAAGAGTTATTAGAGTCTTGGCCAGAAGAACCAAATCGAACTCTGTTTTGATTGGTGAAGCTGGTGTTGGTAAGACATCAATTGTTGAAGGTGTTGCACAAAGAATCATTGATGGTGATGTTCCAAATATTTTAGCCAATTCCCGTTTATTTGCCTTAGATTTAGGTGCTTTGACCGCAGGTGCAAAGTACAAAGGTGAATTTGAAGAAAGAATTAAGGGTGTTTTGAATGACATTGAAAAATCAAATGAAATGATTATTCTTTTCATTGATGAAATTCATATGTTAATGGGTGATGGAAAATCAGATGCGGCCAATTTATTGAAGCCAATGTTGGCAAGAGGTTCGCTTCATTGTATTGGTGCAACTACATTCACTGAATATCGTAAGTTTATTTCGAAGGATGGTGCTTTCGAAAGAAGGTTTCAAAAAATCGAAGTTCCTGCTAGTACTGTTCCTGAAACTGTCGCTATTTTGAGAGGTTTACAACCAAGATATGAAATCCATCACGGTGTCCGTATTTTAGATAGTGCCTTAGTCACAGCTGCTCAATTAGCTTCAAGATATTTAACATACAGAAGTTTGCCTGATTCTGCTGTTGACCTTATAGATGAAACTGCAGCCACGGTTGCTGTAGCAAGAGACTCTAAACCAGAAGAATTGGACACTTTGGAAAGACAATTGCACTTAATTGAAGTTGAGATTAATGCATTAGAAAGAGATGTTGAAGCTGATGCTGATTCCAAAGACCGTCTTGAAGTTGCAAGAAGAAAGAAGGCCGAATTGGAAGAACAATTAGGACCATTAAGAGAAAGATTCAACCAAGAACGTGCAGGCCATGAAGAGTTAATTGCGGCCAAGCGTAAGTTAGATGAATTAGAGATCAAGGCACAGGACGCAGAAAGAAGACATGATACCGCTACCGCTGCTGATTTGAGGTACTTTGCCATCCCAGATGTTGCGAAACAAATTGAAGAGTTGGAAGTAAAAGTTGCCGAAGAAGAGCAATCTTTAGGTTCAGAAGCAATGTTGAAGAATGCCGTTGGTAGCGAACAAGTTGCTGAAACTGCAGCTAGATTAACTGGTATTCCAGTGACAAAATTGTCTCAAGCTGAAAATACTAAGTTGATCAATATGGAAAAGGAATTGTCTTCTGAGGTTGTCGGTCAAAGTAAGGCTGTTAAAGCTGTATCAAATGCTATCAGATTGAACCGTTCTGGATTAGCAAACCCAAATCAACCTGCATCCTTTTTATTCTTAGGTTTATCTGGTTCAGGTAAAACCGAATTAGCTAAAAAGGTTGCTGGATTCTTATTTGCAGACGAAAGAGCTATGATTAGAATTGACTGTTCCGAATTAGGAGATAAGTGGTCTGCTTCTAAGTTATTGGGTGCAGCTCCTGGATATGTTGGTTATGAAGAAGGTGGTATTTTAACTGAAGCTTTATTACGTCGTCCATATTCAGTGGTTTTATTTGATGAGGTTGAGAAAGCCGCTCCTGAAGTATTAACTGTTTTGTTACAAATTTTGGATGACGGTAGAGTCACTTCGTCCCAAGGTAAGTTAGTCAATTGCTCAAATGCAATTATAATTATGACTTCAAACGTTGGGGCAGAGTATATCAGTGCTTCGAAGGGCTCAGTTATTGATGATAATACCAAAGAACTTGTGATGAATGCTGTGAGAGGTAGTTTCAGACCTGAATTCTTGAACCGTATTTCAAGCACAGTTATTTTCAATAGATTATCCAAGAAAGCTATTGCTAAAATAGTCAAGATCAGATTAAACGAAATTCAAAAGAGGTTTGCTGCTAACGGTAAAACTTTATCCTTGGAAGTCGATGATGCTGCATTGGAATACTTGTGCAATAACGGTTATTCTTCTGATCTTGGTGCAAGGCCACTTAACCGTCTTATTCAAAACGAAATTTTGAACCGTTTGGCTGTCTTATTATTAAAGGGACAGATCAAAGACAAAGAAGTGGCCAGAGTTACCTTAGGCTCTAAAGGTTTAGAAGTGTTACCAAACCATGAGGCTGAAGATGAAGATATGGCCGATGTCCAAGTCGACGAGTGGAAAGATAGTGAAGATGAAGATGAAGACGATGAATTTAATAGCTTAGCTTCAACTCCTCTTGACTAAGTTAAACAATAATTTTTTTAATTCTTTTGTATATAGAAATGTTGAAAGTAAATTTAATAAATAATGGTATTAATATTTTTTAAACAAACCTTGTAGTTATTAGTATGAATTTTTCTTCCCTTATTTACAGATTCACAGGCTTCAGGAGTCCCGGCTCCCAATAGGCTACAATAGCAACGAAAAACATTATGATCGTACTGTAATCATTATGATTGCAACTAACCTATTTGGGAATATTTTTGTGTTATATGGTCACATGACATATGACTAAAAAAATTTCACTCATCTCACATCATCAAATATATAGACCCTAATACTTTTAATATATTTTGTTAATCATTCTTTTTAATTAGTAATTATGGCTAGTAGAACACAATTTGAAAATTCTAACGAAGTTGGTGTCTTTTCCAAGTTAACCAACTCTTACTGTCTTGTCGCCGTCGGCGGTTCAGAAAACTTTTATTCTGCTTTTGAAGCTGAATTAGGTGATGTTATCCCAATTGTCCACACCACTATTGCTGGTACCCGTATAGTCGGTAGAATGACTGCTGGTAACAGACGTGGTTTATTGGTTCCAACCCAAACAACAGATCAAGAATTAATGCATTTAAGAAACTCTTTACCTGATAGTGTCAAAATTCAAAGAGTTGAAGAAAGATTATCAGCTTTGGGTAATGTTATTTGTTGTAATGATTACGTTGCATTGGTCCACCCAGATATTGAAAGAGAAACCGAAGAATTGATCGCTGATGTTTTGGGTGTCGAAGTTTTCCGTCAAACTATTGCAGGTAATGTTTTAGTTGGTTCATACTGTTCCTTGTCCAACCAAGGTGGTTTAGTGCATCCACAAACATCCATCCAGGATCAAGAAGAATTGTCATCATTATTACAAGTTCCATTAGTTGCTGGTACTGTTAACAGAGGTTCTTCTGTTGTTGGTGCTGGAATGGTCGTTAACGATTGGTTAGCCGTCACCGGTTTAGATACCACTGCTCCAGAATTATCCGTTGTTGAATCTATATTTAGATTGCAAGATGCTCAACCAGACTCTATATCTGGTAATTTGAGAGATACTTTGATCGAAACTTACTCATAAGCATAGTGTTGTTTCGTTTGTTTCCTGGCAAGTGGTGTTTTGTCTTAAGATTTGTAACGTTTCTTAACGACATTTCTTACCACTGGGTTGTCTATTAGCATTCAATCATTTATATTTTACTTCTGGATTTGAATTGGAGTATTTTCTTCAATCCGCACAATTTACTGGGCATACGAGAATTCACTTTTTAAGTTCTCTCCATTTACGTTTCCCTGTTCGCTAATACCTATTTCAAAGTCTCTTAGTATCATATAATCTGTATATTAGATTCTATATAATAACAATAAATGGATAAATGGTGAAGTTATTTAGTAGTAGTAGTTATAGTTCATATTCACGTGCACGCGTCGGTTTGTTAAAATCATAAGAGTTTACCTAGCATATGTAGATTTTCATTATGTTGATTCACTGGTCTTACTTATTAATTGATATTCCGAGTCTGAAAATACCATAGATACTTTAAAAATGGACTTTTCTGGAATTCCTCGTGGTTCAATTAGGGGAGACGCTTTAAAGAAGTTAGCGAAATTATCAGTTGAAAATTCCCCTACCAGTTTACAAGATAACGGCGAGTCAACAGACGATTTTTTCAATTTGTTGTCTCATACAACTAGAAATGAAAAAAATCAGCTATCAGATGTTGCCATTTCACCCAAAGAGTTTGAAGTTTTAATTGCATTGTGTGAATCAACAGCTTCAGATATGAAGTTTCCCAAACAAGCAAAAATACTTTTGGACAAGATTAGATTATATTTATTAGAGTTACCAAATCAGAAGTTTTCCAATGCCGTATTTAATTTGACACCCAAATGTTCCCCTTGGAATTTACTTGGTGAGAAATTAACCACGGCTGCCATTAATCTAGGCAGTAAATTTGATTTCGTGCTTCTTGATAAAGTGTTAGATGTACTCATGGAATTTAATGAAAAATTATTTCGTAACGCTTTTGAATTTTCCAATTATATGTCACTTTTGGGATTTATTGAAGGGTTGATTAAGAATGCATGGATTTTTCATTATTCTGAAAAGTCATTCAAAGTCTTTACCACGTTGGACACCTGTATCGATAATTTTGAATTTTTGAATGAAGCAGAGATTTATTCCAACAACTTATTTTCTCAACCTAATGAGTATTCTTCGTTGTTAGATCGAGATATTGTTTCTGAGTTTTCTCCTATCCTTTATATTGAACGTATAAGCAAATTGCAATGCTCGATCATTGATTCTATTCTTGGTAATACGGAGACACCTTTGTTGGAATTCTTATTAATTAAGGCTTCTAAGCTGTATGAAGATGACAATGCTAGCTATGATCTGAAGAGTCCTGCTGGATTAATGGACATTTCACAATTTCATATGAACATTATCGATAAATTATCCTACATGGCAGTTCAAAAAATGGAATTCTTGGATAGGGGTGAGACTTATATTGTTTATTCGACTTTCAATAGATTAAAAACTGGTTATTTAGCTAAGTCTATTAATTTACATATAATTGGTTGTGGTATGTTTACTGATAATGTTGATATTTCAATTGCAAAGAAATTTTTGAAAAATTGCTTATCTATCTATGATGTTATGTTGGATATCAACTTAGGCTTAAGTGTTATTCAATTGGGATCTTTATTAGTGTTCAAAGATGAGCAAGTCGGACCGCCAATTACCAGGGCATTTACCTCTTTGGTAGCAAACCCTAAATTTGATACTACGTATTGTCTGATTTCTTCAAAAAGTGTGGGTTTAGCAAGTAAATGCTTTTCTCAGGATGCAGTGGTTACTACTATTTATGCATTAACGAATTTATTATTTATCGGTGATGATGGTGTCCAAGCTAGAAATTCAATCAAGAGAAATACAGCATTAGGAAGGCCTCCAGATGGTTTTGCGGCTAGAGACTTGAACATATCTAGAAGTGTTTCTAGATTCACATCAATGAACTCGTTAGTGAATGAAAAGACTGAGCCTAACTTTCACGATAAAGCATCGGTTGGCGATTATGAAGAATCTGATTATATGAAGATTTGTGAGAATGCCATTATTGCCATTATTGATATTACGCAAGCTTGTAATGATGAAACTATTAGTACTCTAGCTGTTACCATCTTATCTCAAAAAACTGCCAAATTAAATTCAAGAATTGGAGATATATTGTTGAAGGGCTTAGTATCGTGTGCTCCATTCTTGCCAGAACGTGAGTTCATTATCTTGTCTAGGCTATTAAACAAGTTATCTCTTGATGCATTAGAAGGAGGAAATTCTCGTTTATTAGATTCCTTGATCAAAGCAAGAATAAGTTTATCTCATAAGCTTAAACCTGATAATCCGTTATTTAGGACTTACTTGCGTGAAATTTTACAAGCAATTATTAGCAAAGGTGAAGTTCGAGTATTGGAACACCATAGACCACATACTGAGATCAGCGAAATTGGTGATCAAATTGGAATCTACTTGCAACCATTAGCAGAGCTTTTGCCAGATGTTCATAAAGGAGAGCTTCCATTAAGCATTAATGAGACATCCACGATTAATCTATTCAGAAATATTTGGTTTAATATGGTAGTTCACGGCTATTCCATGAATTCAAAAAATGTAAAGAAGTATAAAGTTGAATTAGAAAGAATTGCATATAATTCACCGCCATTAGCTTCTGAATTATCTTGGGATAGAACAGAAACATCTTTGGAATTAAATACCGTTTTAAGAAGAGGATCTTCTAATCACAATGTCAAGGATCATAGACATATCATGGGTAACATATTTGAAGTAAATAGGACCATTTCCTACCCGAAATTGATGTTCGTCTCAGCTACTGTGTTTGTCGAATCATTGAGAGTTAAATCAGGAGATTGCTCGACCATTTTGCAATACTATTCTGATCCTTCTATATCAACTAGCAGCATTGATAAGTACATTGGTAACATTTCTAACAAGATTGTTGAAGATTTTGTTACTCTAGTCAACAATGGAGGTAATGCACAATTCACCTCGGAAAATATTGCTGAACAACTAACATGTATGTTGGCACTCTGTTGTCATAGACTTGAAGACTTACAGGATGCCGCCTTACAATCCTGTGATACCATGATCAATAGAATTCCCTCTTCATTATGCCATCATAAAAGTTTGTTTGCTCTATTTGACTTATTAACACTCCTTTTCGAAAGCATTGTCGACGCTGATGAAAATCAATATGAGCCTAAAACTTCATTCCGTGCTGAAAGAACTGGCATACAATTGCTCTTGTCCGATTCATATAAATGGCGTAATGACACTTTCAATCGTTTCCATGACAAAGCAAAAAGTTGGATGAAATTGATTTTAGTTAAGTGCAATGTTGATGTGAAAGCGTTAATTCAGTCTTATATCTCTGGCTTAGATACGTTTCAATCTAATGAAAGAGTCCAATATGGTGTGTCGTTTGCTTTAGAAATGGCTGGCAGTGTTTTAGCGAACGATAGGGAATTGTCTAGCGTTTCAAAGTTTGTTCCTCAGAATTTCAACACCTTGCCCGTTTTTGTTTCGCAGTTAAGTTGGAGAAGCAACCTTGTAAGTAAACTTATGGACAAAGTTCCATTGCACTCGCAAGATGATACTGAGAATGCATTCAATACGATGCGTCTAAAAGTGATCGAAATTAAGCGGAAGATTTCTGACAGACAACACTCTGTATCAAACGATGAGACTATTGACTTGCTAAGTGAGCTTGCTGGTTTAGCACTTGTTTCTTACAGCAATTCTGCTGAAATAATCAGATATCTCGTTGAAATCCCGTTTGCTATATTTGAGTCGTCTATTATGAAAACGGCGAGTGGTATTTGGTTTGCTGTTATGAAAGAGCGTCCTAATTTATCTGTTATCCTTTTGTCTGAAATAGCAAAGAAATGGGAAACATCAATTAAAATGAAGCAAGGCTTATATTCAACAAAGCATGATATTTGCAATCCTGAATTTACAAAAATGGAATATAGTCCAAGTGACCTGAAAGTAGTAAACAGACTTGGTCATGCAACTAGTAAGAGCTTTGATCCTCACTTGCAAATAATTAAATTATTCGCCTCAAATTTCGAAGCTACTTTATATCAAAGTGATCATTTACTTAAAGTTTTTACTAGATTCGTCGACTTTGGCTTAAGAGAATTAGCTATTGCAAGTCTCCACCCAATTGCTAGAATTGTGAGGTTTGAATTAATTAGATTTGCCTTCCACGTTTTAAATTACCATATAAAATTAGGTTCCAGAAGTGTTTTCAGTCTTACTGAAGCAATATTCGATGCAATTTTATCATGGTTTAGACAGAGAGCAAGTTACCCATTTGGATCAAATCTTCTCAAAACTAAAGCCGATTATAGTTTATTGCAGGAAACTGCCCGTCTAGTGTCACATACAAATACTATGAAGAATAGTGAATTAGAGTCAAAGAAGGTACTTATTATGTTTTTCCTTGATGATGAGGTTTCAAAAATTTCTGTTTGGTTAAACCCAATAAATGCTCGTGATTTAAAAGGAACATTTACGTCCAGTCACATTAATGGTATCCATGTATCTCACGCATATAAGTTAGATCCCATATTAGCCGTAAATTTGGCTCTTAGATACAAACTTAAGGATTTGGATCAAATATTACAGCATTTGATTACAGAAACTCCTTTACCAGCTATATTTTATCCTGATGCTGTGCAATACTTTATTGGTATAAATGGTGGAACCAATATGCCTTCTCATCATTTATTATTTTGGGAACCTTTGTCTCCTATTGATGCGATAACGTTGTTTTTACCACCATTTGGTAGCAACCCGTATATTCTTCAATATACCATGAGATCATTAGAGCATCATGATACCAATTTGACATTCTTTTATGTTCCACAAATCGTTCAATCATTGAGATTCGATGCAAAGGGATATGTTGAAAGATTTATTCTTGAAACTGCTAAAGTTTCACAGTTGTTTGCTCACCAAATTATTTGGAATATGCTAGCAAACAGCTATAAGGATGAAGATTCTACAGAACCAGACTCGTTGAAACCAGTCCTTGATAGAACCCAAAATTCCATGCTCAAATCCTTGAGTAAAGAGGATTTTTTGTTCTACGAAAAGGAATTTGGCTTCTTTAATGAAGTCACTAGTATCTCTGGTAAATTGAAGCCCTACATCAAGAAGTCCAAAGCAGAAAAGAAGGTAAAAATTGATGAGGAAATGGCTATTATCGAGGTTAAGCCAGGGGTATATTTGCCAAGTAACCCTGATGGAGTGGTTGTAGATATTAACCGAAAATCAGGAAAACCTTTACAGTCGCATGCAAAGGCACCATTCATGGCTACTTTTAAGATCAAAAAGGATGTTCTTGATGTAGATGAACTGGGTGAACGTGTGGTAACTCAAATCGAAAAATGGCAAAGTGCTATTTTCAAAGTTGGTGATGATTGTCGACAAGATGTTTTGGCACTTCAACTTATCTCGGTTTTCAGAACCATTTGGTCCAATGCGGGTTTGGACTTGTTTGTTTACCCTTACAGAGTGACTGCTACTGCGCCAGGCTGTGGTGTTATCGACGTACTTCCTAACTCAGTATCGAGAGATATGCTTGGTAGAGAAGCAGTTAATGGCTTATACGAATATTTCACAACCAAATTTGGTCCTGAAAACTCGATAGAATTCCAAAAAGCGCGTAACAACTTGATCAAGTCATTGGCAGCGTATTCCATCATCTCGTATATTCTACAATTTAAAGATCGTCACAACGGTAACATTATGTACGACGATCAAGGTCATGTGTTACATATCGATTTCGGTTTCTGCTTCGATATCGTACCTGGTGGTGTGAAATTCGAAGTTGCGCCGTTCAAATTGACCCACGAAATGGTCTTGGTATTAGGAGGACGTTCCGACACCCAAGCATTCCAATGGTTCGAAGAGCTCTGTGTTAAAGGTTTCTTGGCATGTAGGCCCTACATGGAAACTATTGTCAGATCCGTGAATCCGATGCTCGAAAGCGGCTTGCCATGCTTTAAACCACAAACCATCAAAAAGTTGAGGTCGAGGTTTGTCCCAAACAAGTCTGAAAAGGAGGCGGCCCTTTATATGAGACACCTTATCAAAAAATCGATGGAATCTTACTACACGAAGGGTTACGACGAGTTCCAGCGTATTACAAACGGTATTCCTTATTAGTTTGCTAGCGAATACTTATGCGATGCATGGAATTATATAATTATGCGTGTACTTATTTAATACATTTTTGTCTATTTATCTTGTCTTGCTCTACACAGTGTACGGTCAATATTATGCGTTATCCTCTTTATCTTCATTCTACCTTTACTACTTCAATTCTACCAACACCAATTTACTCTACGCCTGTATTCTTAACGCTTCTACAGATATACTACAATTTTGTACCTACATCACACCTCATCAATATGGGCTCCGAATCGCCCTACATGTCTCTACTTACCTGTTTCTTCGACTTACCCCATATTGCTACATATCACCCTATATAATTCTACCCACCCTCTGATATCCTCTATTGCCTCATATTGCCCTCTACTCTCCTCATACTGACCTCCTTACGCCTACATCCATCGCCAATGCACGCTACATAAAATCTTCCTTGACGCTCATATCTAATATACAGTGTCTTCCATTGTGGCGCAATACATATCTAAATACCAATTTGCTATAGCCTAATACAGGGCTATACCAGATTTCAACGAGACCTTGTCTATTACGTGTACTCTTGCCTATGGAACCTAGCGGGCACAGTATATCAGAACACAATAAAGCCAACGTCCAGTGGTGTAGATCCCCTTTGCATGGCTTTGCTTAATCTGTGCTGTTTATAAATAGCAGTGAATCTAATCCTGTATATTAATATTCTCACACAAAACGTTCACTACTTCGAAAATATGGTAGATGATTGATTTGTTTAGTATATGGGCTACTGAAAATTATTGGTATATAATCGTCAGTTAGTATACATATTGAGATAGATAGGAGATTGGTCCGTTCAGATAAAGAATTTTTTTGGATTTGAAATAATTTGCTCAATTAGGAGACTTAGAGAAGCATATTCGACCAGTGAATAAACATTCCTTGATACCTTTTTTCGAGTAGTAAATCGAATAAAATTTGGTACGGAAAGTGATACAGTTTCTAGTACACATATCGGATATATTGCGATAAACGGTGATTGATAATACTTGTGGTAGTCGTTTGCATTTACAACGAATTATTGATTGTTAACAAGAGATCAGGAACATTTTCCAGCGCATAGTCAGAGAAAGAGAGAAATCAAAAAATGAAGTGGAATATTATATGGGTGCTAGTCACCATGTTAATGGGGGTGGCAATGGGAGCCAGTGAAGATAAGGATAAGAAGGGGAATTATATAAAATCGACATCGTTGTTGACATGTATGGAAGATTCATTATTTACGGCGTCGCATTTTGATGTGGTGTTTTATCCAGATAGTGGTAAAGTTTATTTCGATGTTACCGCTATTTCGAATATTGATGGTAAGATTGCAGCACAGGTCGATGTTATTGCGTACGGACTTAACGTCTTGACCCATAATATCTCGTTCTGTGACTTGGGTTTTGAAACTATCTGTCCATTAACAAGTGGACATATGGAATTGAACTCAAACTACAAGCTCAGTTCATCTATCACAAAGCAGATCCCTGGAGTAGCGTATACTATTCCTGATTTGGATGCCAGAGTTAGGGTGGTTGTGTATGATGCCCTGGATTCGTCGAAAGAATATGCTTGTGTTGAAGCAGTATTGAGTAATGGTAAGACTGTTCAAACTAAGTATGCTGCATGGCCTATTGCCGCTATTTCAGGTTTGGGGGTCATTACTTCTGGTGTTGTTTCGATTATTGGCCATTCGAACACTGCGGCCCACATTGCTTCAAACTCGATGTCTTTATTCGTCTATTTCCAATCATTGGCTATAACATCTATGATGGCGGTCGCAAAGGTTCCACCAATTGCAGCTGCATGGGCCCAAAATTTCCAATGGTCTCTAGGTATTATTAAAGTTGGATTTGTCCAAAGCATTGCAAATTGGTATATGCAAGCAACAGGTGGTACTCCAACCGATATACTTGCATCGTCGTATTTGTCAATTTCTGTTCAAAAGAATAAATTTAAGAGGTCAGCAGAGTATTTCATGAGAAACTTATATGACAAACAAAGAACTAATAATCATTTAACCCTCTTCAAGAGAGCTAGTATTTCCCTTGATTCGGATGATTTTGGTTACAGTGATACTTTGGACTCCTCATTATATTCGGTCAATGAAAAGGATGATGATTTAACTTCAAAGATTTTAGTTTTAAGAGGTATTCAAAGAATTTCTTATTTGGCTGGCATTGAAATTACCAGTTTGTTCATGACAAGTATTATGTTCTTATTGTTCGTCGCCTTTGTTTTGGTTGTCTGTATATCTGCATTCAAGGCTATTATGGAAATTTGTATTCGTGCTAAATTTATAAATGAAGGAAAATTTAATGAATATAGACAGCAATGGCGCTATATCATTAAAGGATCCCTTTATAGATTACTTTTGATTGCATTCCCACAATTATCTGTAATGTGCCTCTGGGAATTTACAACACATGATTCTGGTGGAACTGTCGTTGTTGCCGTTTTCTTGTTAGCAGTAGTTTTGATCTTGTTGATTCAAGCAGCCATAAGGGTCTACTTATTAGGTAGAAGATCTGTCAGACAATTTAAGAATGCGGCATACTTATTATATGGTGATAATAAATTCCTTAATAAGTTCGGTTTTGTTTATGTTCACTTCCGTGCTGATTGTTATTACTTCGTGATGATCAATTTGATTTACATCTTCTTGAAATCATTGTTTGTTGCAGTTATGCAAAGACAAGGAAAGCCTCAATCAGTTATCGTCTTTGCCATTGAGCTCGTCTACTGTATCCTTTTATGTTGGATTAGACCATTTATGGATAAGAGAACGAATGCATTTAACATTACTATTTCAGTCATTAACGCTATCAATGCACTCTTCTTTATGTTCTTTTCGTACATATTCAAACAGCCACATATTGTTGCTTCTGTTATGGCTATTGTTTATTTCATATTGAATGCTGTATTTGCCTTGTTCTTATTATTATTTACCATCGTTACATGTGTTTTAGCTTTGGTATATAAGAACCCTGATACAAGATATCAACCAATGAAGGATGACAGAGTTTCATTCTTGCCAAGGTTTGACCGTAAGAGTAAAGGAGAGCAAGATATGAATAAAGTTCCGCAAGACGGAGATGATATGGAATTAATGGCCTTGGGTGCAACAGCTATGAGAGGACATGAGAATGGTGGTAAGCCAGCTATCTATGATGAAGAGGAATCTGTATATGATGAGGATGCCTTTTCAGAACAGAATAACAAGCATCAAAATGCTTTCAATTCTAACCTGTTCTCTGATAGTGGAGGTAATAGAGATTCCTATTATTTAGAATCAATTGAGCCAACTCAGCCAACGTCAACTATTGTTGGTAATCCAAACAGTGCTATGGGTAAGTATAATACTGCCTATGGCAAGAATGTTGACCATGGAAATGGGAATAGAGTGAACTTCATATGATATTATGAAATTGTATTATGGTGATCTATATTGTTTCTTTATTTTTATAGTCGCTTTCCATCTATGTATTTTAAAGGTTGTATATTCGAATTGTAAAAAATGTATGTTTTATTTATTCTAAGAAGTCTAAATTTTAATCAAGGCAAAAGTGTGGTTTTCCAAATATGCTATAATGAAAAATATTATACCATGTTATCTTATCGCAGTTTTCGTCATTGCTGAATATAGACAGCCTTTTATGTAAGATATCATTATCGATATCTTCAGTCTCGTTATAGGATTCATCTCCTAGATTATCGTCTATTTTAAAAGGTGAATATATGACCTGTGAATACCATTTCTTTCGGGGGGCTGTTTTGATTGAATCAGCAAACTTAATTAGCGAAGCAGGAAACAGAAATCCGCCATCTGGTTTTTGGTGGCCTCGGTTTGCCAATTGCTCCAGGCCTCGTGCAAGTCTTGCCTTTCTGCGTCTTGAAGAAGGGAATGAACTCTCATGCACAACTTCATCATTCTCCCCGTTATCGAGTTGAAAAATCTTTTTCAAGCCGTCGTAATTGTTTATAATAGGACTTTGATCTGGATCATCCAATGTGTCTTTGATATCTCCCAATATTTCTGGTATTTCACCAAGCTTGTCTTGTATTTTATGAATTTTCGACTTTGCATCAATATTAAAACGCTCTGCATTGCTAAATCGTTCACCGGCAAACTTATATACTGTGCCATTTATCAACTGAGCTGCGGAATATAATATATCACCGGCTTCTTTTATTGCTTGGTTGGCATTCAAATGTTCTGGTAAGTCCTGCTCGTCTTGCCTCAGGTGCAAATCGACTAAATGGTGTCTTGTTCTGGAACGTTTTGCTATATCGTAAAATGCTGGAAATAAATGAATAGTTTGCTTATCTTGAACTTTCAAGCAATAACTTTCATCCATGTTTTTATTGTTCGTTGTACAGAAGACTGATTGAATTAAGCTGGAATAATTGATTTTGTCAATCCAATTGTATGCAAATGAATCAAAGAATGTTGACACGCTAGCCTTCTGTCTATTTCTTGTTATATAGTTTTTTATGTTCATTATAGTCCCCGATGAAGCTTTAAAATCATCAGATTTACCGCTATTGAAAAGGAAAACCATTAATGGTTTATTTTCGCTGATACACCTTCTGAAAATCGGTAATTTAGAAGCTGGAACTTCCAAAATCCCATTTGAGAGCACAGACTCTAAATTATTCTTACTTGAATTATAATGAGAAGCCATATATTCCCTTGGAATAACGGCATAAAAATTTACTAACTTCATATACTGTGGTAGGTTAAATGGTGCACTTCTTTGAATAAGTTCCACAAATCTATTCTGAGCTCTCCTGGGAATGCTTAAATTATCAGTTGTATTGAATATAAATAAGTTTTTAGAATCCTTTGGAATAACAATATTCTGGTATTTATGTGTCAAATTGAACAAATGGCTATCTTGATTTAAATATTCGAGTCCTAGCTTTGTCAAGATACCGGACTTTAATAAATTTCTAGGCACCAATAACAATTGATCAGTGAGATCACTATCCTTTTCAATTGCCTCTTCGTTGAGAAATGGGGACATTAATGACCTTAATTCTGTTTCGGAATTCTTCTTCATGCGTCTTAGGCTGCGAAGATTTGTCCTCGAAGGAAAGTCTATTCCAAGCTTCCGGTAATCTAAGGCTATTGAGCATCCTAGGCTGATTAAACACAAGAATATAATTAAGTCGTTTAATTTCACCATGATCTATATTGTTGAATGTAAATTATAAATCTATATGATAGGATGTACAATTATAATGATATAATATTGTTTTGTGATATTAGCCGGAACCACAAAAAGTTGCAAAATTTTGCGATCATAAATTTTTCATACATACACAATAATTTTACTTCGCCCTATAACTTGAGCTGGATCCTGAACCTCATACATCTCCCCATTTTCATTAAGTAAATATTCTCGTAAAGGTTGATTAGAGTCTGGACTAGTAGGCTCTATATATGGTACTGGCCTGTTTTGTATTGTCTCATTGTAATTACTGTCTAAACCTCTGTTACTGTAATCAAAGTTTATGTCTTGAAGTAGGTTCAAGTTTGAAATATAGTATGTAGTTAATAACATAACGAGATTGCTCAACCACAAGCAGAACGATATTATGATAAATCCTGCAGCAGCTTTTCTCATGGTGCAGATAGATTCATTTGCGCAATTGGAATTAGGTATTAGCACTGCTATGGCAATAACAAAAGAAACAAAGTTCATGACTGCTGCCACTAGGCAATAAAAATTCCCATTCCGCTTTTCGAAATTGATGACAGTGGTTATGAATAACAACAGCACTATAAGTGATACTATTCCATCTGCAATTAGGTACCGGTAAACACTGTTGTCTAGTTTGTTATCCTTCTGAGCAAGGACACTGCATAGAGTCACGACTATGATGGCAATGATTATTTCAAACACGTATAGAATGAAATTTGCTGTGATGGTAACATGTGTATCACCATATATTTGCGACCCAGTCATTGTTCCGACAGGAAATGATGCTACTGGTCTATTCATAACTTTCTTTATCAAATCATGCTCCAAATCTTTTCTTCGAGACGACAAGCTTTGTAGATCAGGTTGTGGAGTATATGCTGACTCCGTATCCTTTTCGTTCTGCTTCACATATTCTTCAGTAGCCATTATTGGAGGTAATTCCTTGTTTGTTTTACTTGGTAACGTACTTGAGCTTGAGCACAACGTATCGTTAGACTGGTCGATATGAAGTGTATTGAATGAGGGTAAACTGGGAAGATCCAACGCCGCCTTGTTATTATAAGGAAGAAGTATTTTGCTATCCTTGTCGCTCAACGATGTAGGATAAGGCACGAATGAATTATCGGCATCGTTAAATGAACCAAAAGACGGTTTCATATAGTGTTTATATATATCATTGAGATAGCCATGGTTCGTTGAATCCACATGATATTGGGTTTCATTACCAAAATCCCCATACTTTGAGTCCGTCATCGACTTAGTATCAATAGATGTTGGTGTGGTATTACGCGATCGGTTTCTAGGACCTCCCGTACTATATTCGAATCTTGACAAGTCGCTTATCACTCTCCTATCATCATAATACTTGTTAAGGTCCTGTTCCAACGGCCTTCGTGTCATTTACCAATGCGTTTTTTCTATCAGTGAATGGAATCAAAGCTTTCTTCACGTTTTCAACCCGTAAACCATCCTAGCCTTCTCTTGATGATGATCTTGTTGCTTTACCCTCCATGGCTCAATAGCCATATCGCATTCCAAATCGGGCAGTTTTCCAAACACCCCAGCACGCCGCATGCGCAACCATCACTGGCACAGTCGCTGGCCTCACAGAACACACCGGCACGTATCCATGATTGTTTTCCGAGACACGCCTGGTTCAATCCCCACCTTCGCCACTCACTTAATACCCCAAGCACTCCTTTAGTCATCTAGTAGTCCTTCTCATGTCTACACAAAATGCCGTTCCCCCCATCTGTACGAATCCTAACGTCTCTATCCCTGTCCTCGTTTATTCTCATACCCTCATACCTTAATTTCTTTCTTCCGTGTCGGCCCCTGCCTCATCTCCTATTTGTTGAACCAATTCCCGGACTTTTTTAACCTCTCGTATTCTTGTCTCTATTGAGCGCATACTCATCTTAAGGTCGTTTTGCGGCAGTAGTTCTACTCTCCATGTTCGACGGAAACGAAAAACTCCGGGTCGTGAGGAGCCAATGCTAGGTTTTGCGCGACGTGAGCCAATCAAAGCAACCTATTTGGCTATGAAATATTCCCGGGAATAGAATTGGCAGATGTTCCGACCATAGAAAAAAAGGTATTTCGTTAAAGTGACACAAAGCCGCAGAAATAGTGAAGAAAAATGGAGCCAACGGGATGAATTAAAGCAAACTACTATTATTTATTCAACTATTCATTTATTATTAGATACTCAATTCTGTAATTATACATAAAAATGTTGTCCAGAAGTATTAAAACCACTACTCGTCGCTTACCTAGTGTTTGCAAAAAGCCAGTATTGCAAACTGGGGCCAAAATTGGTAATGTCATGATGACCAGATCGATTCAAACCGACAGCTACAAGTCCGTGAAAAATGTGAGCAGAATGAACTCTAACATGTTGAGCTTTAAGCGTTTTGCATCTCAAACCGTCAAGGTTCCAGAAATGGCCGAATCTATCACTGAAGGTACTTTATCGGAATATCTTAAGGAAGTCGGTGACTTTGTCAACCAAGATGAAACTATTGCCACCATTGAGACTGATAAGATTGATGTCGAAGTGAATGCCCCAGTCAGTGGTACTATCACCGAACGTTTGGTTGAGGTTGAAGAAACCGTGACTGTAGGTCAAGATTTAGTGAAGATCGAAGAAGGTGAAGGTCCAGCTGGCGGAGCCAAGGAAGAACCAAAGAAGGAAGAATCTAAGGAAGAACCAAAGAAAGAAGAAGCTGCTGCTCCAAAGAAAGAAGAATCTTCAAAGCCAAAGAAGGAGGAAGCTCCAAAACCAAAGAAGGAAGAACCAAAGAAAGAAGCCAAGAAGGAAACTTCCAAGTCCGGTGAAGAAGCCACCTTCACTAACTTTTCTAGAAACGAAGAAAGAGTCAAGATGAACAGAATGCGTTTGAGAATTGCCGAACGTCTTAAGGAATCGCAAAACACTAACGCTTCTTTGACCACTTTCAACGAAGTTGACATGACCAACTTGATGGAAATGAGAAAATTATACAAAGACGAATTCTTGGAAAAGACCGGTATCAAGTTAGGTTTCATGGGTGCCTTCGCTAAGGCCTCTACTTTAGCCATGAAGGATATCCCAGCCGTCGGTGCCTCCATCGAAAATAACGATACCTTGGTTTTCAGAGACTACGCTGATATTTCTGTCGCTGTTGCCACTCCAAAGGGTTTGGTCACTCCAATTGTCAGAAACGCCGAATCTTTGTCCATCTTAGGAATTGAAAAGTCTATCTCTGACTTAGGTAAGAAGGCCAGAGACGGTAAATTGACCTTAGAAGACATGACCGGTGGTAACTTCACTATCTCCAACGGTGGTATTTTCGGTTCTTTATACGGTACCCCAATCATCAACTTACCTCAAACTGCTGTCTTAGGTTTACATGGTGTCAAGCAAAGACCTGTCACTGTTAACGGTAAAATCGAATCCAGACCAATGATGTACTTAGCCTTAACCTATGATCACAGAGTCTTAGATGGCCGTGAAGCTGTTATTTTCTTGAGAACAATTAAGGAATTGATTGAAGACCCAAGAAAGATGTTATTATTGCAATAGATTTTTTAATGTCTACCCAGCACTACATAAATTTGCTTTTATATCGTTTGAACTCTCTACCTTTTTTTTTTGGAGTTAATTCCCATAAGTATTTCACAAATCATTGTTTTACCCAGTAAAACAAATATATTTTAAAAGTCATCTAATTTATATAAAACTATTACATCATTCATTGTAGGTCGCTAGTAGTGATTGTTGGAACAATTAAGTATTGAAGACTTAATATGCAGCTTAATTACACATGTTTACCTTTTTCCATAATAGGCAAGTCAATATTCTTCTATCATAAAATTTCGCATCAACAGTCCCTAGCCTGATTCTGTCTACATTTTTTTCCGAATGAAAAGATTGCTCTATAGAAACATAACATCCTTTTGTTTCCTTTTTCTTCTTCCTGAGATAGTGTGGTTAATTTAGCCTTTAAATTCCATTCAAAAGAAAACAAACTAGTTACATTAACTTGACCAAACTTGAAGTATAGTCAAGCATCTGATTCATTGATAAAATGGAACCTTTTAGTAATTGGGAAGAAGTGGCTACTTCAAACCCATCCAATAGAGTACCTTTACCTCATGAAGATTTTGATCAATATTTTACTGGATATGCCGAAGTGGAGAATATGTTCAACGAGACATTGACAGGTTTACAAGACTTGGATGTGCCTTCTGGATTTGTAAACCAAGACCTCAGACAACAACAACAGGAGCTACAAGCTGTAAGAGGGCATCAGGTAAAGCATAGTCGAGGAATGAGTGGTACGGCTATTTTTGGATTTGCTGAGCACAACAGGGAGTTATCTATATCAGGATTGACAGGCGATTTATACAAGGCAGCGAAACCATCCATGGATATGGGAAAATCAATATCTCCAGGACAGTTGATTAACTCTTTAAATGGACAAACAGAACAAGTTGGTTTACCCTCAGTCGCCTTAGATTTTAACTTCCCTAGTGAAATTCAAAAACCATTACACTTCGCAGAAGAAGAAGAGTATGAATATGAACAAACGAAACCTAAGAAAGATACTAAGCAGGACTATATTGTTACGAATAAGAACCCTAAATCGTACAAATTTCCACCTTCTCCCAAACTGCCACCAACAAAGGATTCAGAGTCAGTAATCGAGCCAAAACAGTATAAATCTGTTAACCAATATTCTGTTAAGTATTTACAGGAACTTAATAAAATCAACAACACAGCTTCCTTGAAGCAAAATCAAGAAACATATACCGATGATATCGAACCTCTATTGCAAAAAGGAGCTGAAAGTGAACCCATTACGTATACTAATCCACCTGTTGGTGAGTATACCAATATTCCAGAATCTCAGCAGTCTACCCCTTTCAATAATCATACAGTATACAAATATATTCCAATTCCAACCCAGAATCCTACATTATTTTCAAATACAACTCAAGAACAAAGAAAACTTGATCAAAATGATTTTCCATTGAATATAAAGAACAACGCATACTTACCTCCACCACCATCAACGCCGGGTTTAACAAACGGTTCTCCAGATTGGAATTCATCCCCAGAACCACAATCTCCTTCCCCTAGTAGGGCTGTACTAAACTCTTGCCAGAATAATTCAAGATTCTCTTCGCCAATTCGTCCAAATATGAGAAACGGAAGAAATGATTTTTATACACCACAATTCTTTTCCGATGATAATGGAAACATAACAAATAACAATATATTGAAAAGCAATATCCAAAGCGAACAGAGCTCTTCGCCAGTTTTTCAATCGACTCTTAATTCGTCACCAATCAAATTTTATACAAGTCCATTGAGAAATGCCCCACCAACTGAAGATGATACCATGGATGCAAATGCAACAATCACTCAATTGACTCCATTGAAAAACCAAACTCCAATGAATCCATCGAAGAATAAAGTAACATTGGAATGGAGTCCAATAATTTCTCCAAATGCTAAATCTTCAAAAGATGTAAAGAAGGCACTTAAAGAATCTTCACCTAAAAGAAGGGTTAAGAAGACTTCTTTATTACCACCCGGTGAATTGGATCAGTACTGGGATGGTCCAGATGAACACAAGATATTTACATGCACCTACAAAAATTGCGGAAAGAAATTTACTAGAAGATATAACGTTAGATCTCATATTCAGACTCATCTTAGTGATAGGCCGTTTGCATGCTCATATTGTCCAAAGAAATTTGTTAGACAACATGATTTGAATAGACATGTAAAAGGACATTTGGAAGCACGGTATTGCAAATGTGCATGCGGTAAGGAATTCACAAGGTTGGACGCATTAAGAAAACATAGGGCAAGAAATATATGCATTGGCGGTGTTGCAAGTAATGAAAATCACTGTATTACAAAACCTCCAAGAAAAGATAAAGTTGAAATCCTAGATGGTATGACTTCTGAAAGGCTTTCTGAAGATATACAGGCTATCTTGCCACCATTAGAAGGTCCATCACCATCAGATTGATTTCTGAATATTTAACTCATTCTGGTTTATTTCTTGCATGCATATCTATAGCTTTCTTCAGCATTATTTTAAGATAAAGGAAATCTTGAATTCAATTCTCTTCAACTTTTTAGACATAATTGGTCTTTTTTTTTAATCGTTAGTTGTTTTTTATGGATACTTAGGTAGTTTATTTCAAATATAGGTTATATTTTTATTATATCGACAAATTAGGCTAATTATTTTGGATTAACTAATTAGATACCAGAGTATTTACTATGTTTCTTAGCAATTGTTAATTAGAGGATATCATGAGATTCGATTTTGATATTTTCCAGCGCATTGATCTGTTTTGCTAACTCCTCTTCTTGCTTATGAATTTTCAAATGCTGGTTAAGATTATCAGACCTACTGAATTTTTTATGACAAATAGAGCAATCATAAGGCTTTTCAAAAGTATGCAAAGATCTAAAATGCCTCTTTAAATGCTCTTGTCTTTTGAATCGTCTTGAACAATAATTGCATAAGTAAATTTTGCTCAGATCTACTAAATCAGCTTCTTTATTTTCCTTACGACCACGAGTCCTATTTTTTGAATTGATAATATTGGTTGGAAAGATTTGTGTAGTAGGAGGCAAATCAAGAGACTGTAAATCAACTTCTACTTCAACTCCTTCAGATATTATAGTTTTGGTTGTCGGTGGTGGTGGTGGTGGTGGTGGAGCAGCATTCATGTTTGTCTGGGAGTTTTTTCTCTTCAGCATTAGTTTTGAACCAAGAATACGCTTAGATGCGGTGGTCAATGATGAAGGAGTATTATTACTAGAACCCAAGGATGTGCTGAGATCTGAATCGCTTTCACCACCTTCAGTCCGTATATTTCTATTGTTTAAGGAAGAATCATTTGAGTGTATGCTATTAATGTTACGGGGATCAACATTCTCTGGATAACTTCCACCTGAATTATAGTTTAGGATAGAAGACTTTTCTGTGTTTGAAATCGAATTATTATTACTTCCATTTATACTATTGACTTCCGATTGTTCATTTTTGTATTTAGGTTTGTTTCTAATATAGGTTGCAGGATTTACAATATTTTTTCTTTTACCAACTTTTTCAAATAATGCTGCATAATCAGGTTCCAACACTGAGTTTCCTGGTATATTGGGTATATTATTAGAGTTATTCAGCAATGATGCATCTAAAACCGTTCCATTCACAACATTATTCGAATCCAACGAAGGCGTTCCATTTATGGATAATCCATGCAAAGATGCGCCACCAACCATATCAGCTTCTGTATTTTCGTCGTTAAAATCTTTCTTGTTGCCTAATATTTCTTCACTCTTGTAAAGCTCGAGATTTTCGTTGGGTTCCGTTTTAACTGGTGTCTTAAATCTTGTGAACAAACTTCTCTTAGATCTTTTTGCTTTCTTAGTAGCCAAATTAGATTCAATATTATCTTCTTCCATTTCCTGTTGCAGACGTTCCATATCTAGAAATTCTGAATCATCAACAATATTATCAATATTCTTACTATTATTATTATTGACAGACGGTGTGAGATTATTGAATTCTCCATTTAGTATATCCTGTTCACTTGTATTTTCAATATCGTCCTCATTACTATTATTGTTTGTATTATTTGGCACTGTTGAGCTCTTAAAGATGCTTCTTATTAAATGTCTAGGTTGTTGAGCTTGCTGCGGAGGAATATTTATGAATGCAGATGGTTGTGGAGGCGAAAGAGACTCCGAAGGTGTAGAGTTATTAGAAGTCCTTTGATTTCTATCACTCATAAATGGGATATAGTTGCTTATTGAGTTGGTAAAACTCGTGTATCTTCCACCTACCTGACTTCTTTGGCGTTGATTGATGGATGATTGTTGACTATCAAACGAAGTTCTCGCTTTTGAATAAAGATCGATCGATGGACGATGTTGTTGAGATGGAGGATGATCCAATGAATTCCTAGTTAAGTATTGGTTGGCAGAAAAGAAAGAGAGTTGGGTCGAATGAACGGAGTTTACTGACGGAGTTAATGATGTTGTCGTAGTCAATGGTGATAATTCATTATAATGACTATTTGTATTATTGATACTCAAACTTGCATTCGATATCGACCTTTTCCCTGACATATTTGAAGCATTATTATTAATGTTGTTGTTCTTATTGAAATTGTAGTCCTTTGTATCAACCAGACCCTCGGCGAACCCGTCAAAGGAGACGTTATTCCTGAAATTATTCATGCTTACAAAGGAACTTGTATGGGGCATGAAACTCTGTTGTGATGGTACTCTAGGAATGGATGTTGTGTTGACAAACTCTTGCTTCGAAGCCAAGCCTTCAATGTTATTCGGTATATTAACATTATCTTGGTTATTATCCGAATTGAACAATGCATTGGCCTCATTCGAAATTTCCTGTTGATCTATAAGTGGATCATAATATGTATCAAAATTTACATTAAATGGTGGCGATTCATCTAAATCCATGTTATCATAACTCTTAAAATCCCCAAGCATATTAAAATTTATCGTACCTCCGTCTTCTTTTATTTCTGTTCTATCAGTCACATTAGCTTTAAAAGCATCAAAATCCCTCTCTCCATTTTCAATATTAAAGAAGTTTTCATACAATGGCTCGTCTGTCTCTATTTTTTGTTGGTCATATTCGTTTTTCGGACTATTTGGTCCAACGCCATTACTTATCGGATACGAATTAGTATTCATCTGATACAGTTCTCTGTTGTAATTATCATAATCATCCATATTCTAGAATTGTATCTAACTATTATGAAATACAAATTTAGCCAAGAATGTATGATACTATGCGTTTTATCTAATGTTTAAATTAATTAATCTCTCTCATTAAACGGTTATCACCAAAAATTAATTTTCAGGCTCATTTTTAACAGCAAAATAATTTAATCAGAGGATTTGTTTATTTATTTCTTACAAATTGCTAGTTCAATGACTTATAATACAACATATATTTATTAACCTATACATACACCATTGAGAATTAATCATCCTCTAACGTTTTATCGCCTGATGGAACCCTTTGTCGTATACTTGTATCCCCACGGTCATTATTTAATGAAGCGTTATCCTCATGATCTTTCTCTAAATATTCATTTTCTTCATTTTCATCATTGATCGTCTCCAAATCAGGATTCACTACTCTTAATACCGATCTTCTTTTCGACGATACCAATACTTGAACATCCATTTTAGCATCAACGGATGCATCGGAATCAGAATCTTCATCATTTATGTTTTCGCGTGAACTGTCAAGGTCCGTAATATTGGCCGGTTTGGCATCAGCCTCATCGTCACTGAATGGCCTGGTAGATATGGGCTTATGATTCAAGGTGCTGGTGCTTTTCTTTTTCTTTAGGGATCCATATTCGTGGCTGAGTACTGGAGTGGTCGGAGTGCTGGACATAGAAAATGATTTTTTCAACTTAGAGACAGATCTATTGACTAAATTAGTCTGCAATGGTGTTGGCTGAGGCTTTGATATGATTTCGTTTTCCAATTTTTCTTGATCGTGTTCGGTGGATCTGGTTAGATGAGACGAGTTACTACTGAGGGTATCGTTTGAAGCAAGGTAGCTGTTTCGTATGGTTTTTGTTCTTTTTTCGTCGAATTGTTGTCTTTTCTTGAACCATGAATCTATAGATGCGGCATCCAAAGTGGAACTTGTATCGTTATCAAATGGGTCCGACTTCAATCTAGCCCTTTGGCTTAATGCAGACTCCTGGTCATAAAATGTGCCAAATTGATAATCAATATCATTGTTATCATCGCCTGAATCTTGTTTCCGCTTTCTTTTAATAAATATTGCTGTCATTATAGCCATTGCAATTGCAAATACTGGTAATACGGTACCTAATACTGCTTTTTTTGTAACATCTGAGCGATCGCTGCCTGAGCCTTTCAATACAGTGTTATCTTTAATGCTCCCAACTTTTTCAAAGGAATCAACATTATACAAGCTGATTGTATACTGATCGGAAGTATCTCTTTTGCTTACTGCCTTAGTCGAGTTAATAATGACCAATGTATCAAATATAGTTACTCCACCCAAAATTTCATCATAGTCCAATTTGCTAGTGTCAGCAGAATTCCAGGTCCACGAGTTAGTACTTGTTGATAATTTGGCAAATACTGGTGTAGAATCTGTGTCTAATAATTCACCTCCTATCAATAACACCTCTTTTACGTTATAAAAATTGGTAAAGGCTTCGTTTGAATTGTTCATCAATGGCTCAAAAATGGGTAATGCTAATGGATATCTTCTTGAATTCACCTCGGTAGACTTTTCTGCATCAGAAATTTGCTTGAATGACCATCCAGACGAAAAGTCCCATGTCGCCAATTGATACATATTTAACCACCCATTATTACTTTGCCCTCCAATTACCAATTGAGTCTGTGGATTTGGTGCCAATAAGTTAGTAGCACCGTAGAATGCCTGTGGTTTTGTAGAAGTGGTTATATTGGAAAACTTTAGTTGCTTAGCATCAAAGGAAATCATTCGATTCGAAACTTCGTCTGTCGAATCGCAAACTCCACCATATATGTATATACTATCGTCGTTAGGAGTACTCAAATATGTCGAATGTTGATAGAAAGAAGCGTCGGCGATTTCGTCGTAATCAAGTCCTGATATTGTTTCCCACTGGTCGGCATCTCGATCATACTTCATTAAATTTAGTACGCCCCCTCCACACTTATCATTACTACCACTTGCCTCCGCAACTGCATTAAACCCGTACAATCCCTCCCTAACCAACACGAGTGACGTATTTGCCGGAGGTGTGGCCAACTTTTCAATCTGTTGCCCGTTTTGCAAGTTCAACTGCTTCTCGGTGTACCTGGACTCTTCAATGTTATCAAACCCAGAAACTGAAAAATTCAACGATACTAAGTCGTTATTCTTCAAGTGTATGTATATCTTGCCGTCATTGAATGAATATAGCGTATTCCAATCATTATTAAGTGCACAATTCACTACGGACATAAGTGATATCAAATAAAGAAGCAAACTCATGCTGGCCTCTCTTAACATCATTATTGAACGTATTTCATATATTCCTATTGTATACGACTATTTTATCAATTTTTTATCAATTAATTATCTTCTGATATTCTTTATCCATTCATATATTCAAACAATGTCTATATTAGCGTCATCTTCATCTCTAGAGAGATCTATCTATTGTTTACATATTGTCTTAAAAGAGATAAAGGTCCAATTCTGGGACATAAATGCCTGAAGTCATACGTGAGGTCATGTGACTGAAAAAGTGAAAAAAAATTACTCATACTTGTAATCGGTATCAAAATCATCCGATAAGTAGTGAAAAATTCATCTAAAAGTTATATTGGACGTAATAAAGAAGCCAGATAAACATGTCTACCTTTGGAAATATATTTCGTGTTACCACATACGGAGAATCGCATTGTAAATCAGTCGGATGCATTGTTGACGGATGTCCACCAGGATTAGCTTTGACAGAAAACGACATTCAACCTCAGTTGAGTAGAAGAAGACCAGGACAATCCAAGTTATCGACCCCTAGAAACGAAAAGGATCAGGTACACATTCAATCAGGTACCGAGAATGGAATTACTTTAGGATCACCAATTGGAATGTTGGTGCAAAATGAGGACCACAGACCCAACGATTACTCGGAAACCGACTTATATCCTAGACCATCGCACGCGGACTGGACGTACATACAAAAGTACGGTGTTAAGTCGGCCTCTGGAGGAGGTAGATCTTCAGCTAGAGAAACTATTGGTAGAGTGGCAGCCGGTGCCATCGCAGAAAAGATATTGGCTAAGGCTAACAACGTTGAAATTGTAGCATTTGTGTCCAGTATCGGGGAAATCGAAATGAACAGAAGTCCACAAGATGCTGGTTTCCAGAATATCTTGAACACTATAACCAGAGAAGAAGTCGACGAAGTAGGACCTATTAGATGTCCTGACGCAACCGTCAGAGATGAAATGGTGAAGGTGATTGAAAAATACAGAGACAATAAGGACTCTATTGGAGGTGTTGTGACATGTGTTGTGAGAAACTGTCCTATTGGATTAGGGGAACCATGTTTCGATAAATTAGAAGCCCAGTTGGCCCATGCAATGTTATCGTTGCCAGCTACCAAGGGTTTTGAGTTTGGCTCTGGTTTCTTGGGTACCAAGATTCCTGGATCTGCCCACAACGATCCTTTTGTTTCCGATGGCAATTCTAACAGATTGAGAACCGCCACCAATAACTCCGGTGGTATCCAAGGTGGTATCTCCAATGGTGAAAACATTTACTTTTCAGTTGCATTCAAGTCCGCAGCAACCATTTCTCAAGAGCAATACACTTCCACTTATGATGGTGAAAAGGGTGTTTTGGCTGCCAGAGGAAGACATGATCCTAGTGTCACCCCAAGAGCTGTTCCAATCGTTGAAGCCATGACTGCCTTAGTTTTGGTGGACCAATTATTGATCCAAAAAGCAAGAGATTACGGTAGGAGTATCGTCAGTAATTAAGTTAAAAATATTAATTTATAGTTCGAAAATAGAAGAGAAACGTATTCACTTTGTCGCTGCATATATTTATACCTATATACACCTTTAAAAAAAGTATATCTATTATGAGTTGTTTGACCTTAATCAGTTCTGAAGTATGTAATTTTTGTGTGCAGTCACAATTCAGTGTTACTTCTGATAAATTTTCATACCGTAATACTAAGAAGTTAATTATCACTCACCAAAGATGGACTACATTCAAGTGACATTGCTTACTCTATTATTAGGGTTGGTAGTCACCTTATTGATCTTCTTCTTACAAAATTTAGAAACAAGAAAAGGTGGTAAATCACAATATTCAAAACCAACATTTTTGATAATAGGTCCCAATAACAGTGGTAAAACAGCATTATTTTTTAAATTAACCAGTGACGATGATCATAAGCAGCAGTTCACACATACTGTTTCGTCGATAGAGCCAAATGTCAAAGAGATAAGCTTGCCTTTTTCAAAACCAAGGTTAGGATCGAAGTATCAGCTCATTGATTACCCAGGTCACATTAAATACTCAAAGCTTTTAACAAAGTTAATGAATGAAGATATTACTTTAAAGAATATTAAAGGTATAATATACGTGATTGACTCGTCGTCAACCGCCATCAATGGGGAAGCTGTTAAATTAATATCTAAACAATTATTTACCTTACTCAGTTCCACTGAGAAATTACCAACCGGTGTTGATTTCTTATTTGCTGTGAATAAGCAAGACTTGTTTGATTCCAAGCCAATACACAAGGTTAAAGAAACCCTCGAATTGGAGATGACAAAGCTAATCAAAAATGAATTGCAGGCCAAGAAATTCCAAGAAAACAACGAAAACGAGCTTGAAAGTGAAGAGAATGACAATGCTATTAGAGAATTCTGGTCATCTACAATGGGCTTGCACCAATCATTCAAGTTCGAATTCTTGGAAGGAAACATGGATTTCGTCGGTGGTTCAATCTTGAAGAACAAAGCCGGAAACTGGGAAAACTGGGTTGACGAAAGAGTCGTCAATTAATCCATTCCTTCGTCTACTGGTCCGCACTATCCACCTTGTGCTGTGGTGTTGATGGAAAAAATCCTGGCTTATGCATTTCCTGTTGTTTTTTGGCTCGTACCTTCGACTGAACGTAGTTCTGAGTCCGCATGCGATAGATATCTTTATTTAGTGTATAATCCTTAAATTTATAGTTACTAATGCCACTATTAATTTCGTTCAATTCCCCTTCTAGTCCCTTTAAATCTTGTTTTGCAGATTCGTATGATTCTTTGCCTTTATCCTTTTCTGTATCTTTATCCTTATCCTTATCCTTATCCTGATCTGTTCCTTCAGCCTTCTTACTCCCCAGCATACTGCTCAAAAAGTTCCATGTATACGGCTTGAGTCTCTCTACTCGCTTACGGGACTCTTCAATCTTTCTGCCTAATTCCCCCTTCTTGGTTTCGAGCTCCTTGTACTCGTCTGGGTGTATGGGACTGCTAAAATGTTCGTCCTTCAAATGCAGAGGGCAAACATAAAAGAAGTCAACCTTGTTCTGTGATATTAGCACCGTGGTTGTTGGCTTAAAACATAGCGTACATGCTTTGGAGTCCTTCTCCGCGACTAGCCTAGCATGATAATGGTTAGGAAAAGCACTCATTGCCCTTCAATGTACTCTAATCCCTGTGATAAAGGTCCTAATTTGCACCATATCATCGTATAATGGAATTATTCAAGCCGGGTAACCGTCGTTCCAAAAATTCGCAAATTTCGAAAACTTGCGAGACCGAAGTGCAAATTGTATAGCAAATGTTATTATCAACAACGTATACACTGTTTGATTTAGTATATCAAATATATTTTTATTAATCAATCAATCGAATAAATAATATAGTTATAAGATATTCATAAGATAGAATTATTTTGTAATTATTTGCAGTTTGACATTTAAATTTTAAATTTATCCGCTATTATTAATTGATAAAGATTTTCATCCCTTTTTCAATATTTTTATAGCACAACTGTTTTTTTTGTTGTTTAGCTTCACATAATAGTGAACAGTTCGTTTGATTTATTTATTTGCTTGGTTGTTTACCCGAATATATCCACAGCCGTTAGAAGTCAGATTTTCGAGTTTGGTATCAATAATCCATTGAGGTGAATATTTGTATCAGTACTAGTATCAATTTTTCGTTCCAGTTTAAGAAGATAGATACAGATTCATCAATACCATTATCGTTTCAATTGAAAGATATTATATTATAAGTTATAATATTGTTGACACGTCTTCTGCATATTACATAGAACATCACACAAATTAACTATCCACACATATTACACATCACATAGTATCCATTACTATCCACCCATATAATAAAATACAATATAATATAATACAATGGCTGATCATCAAGAAGCAGACATCGACTCTATCGTCGACAGATTGTTGGAAGTCAGAGGTTCTAGACCTGGAAAACAAGTCACGTTGTTAGAACATGAAATCCGTTACTTATGTACCAAAGCTAGGGAAATTTTCATTCAGCAACCGATCTTATTGGAATTAGAAGCTCCTATCAAGATATGTGGTGATATTCACGGACAATACTATGATTTATTACGACTCTTCGAATATGGGGGTTTCCCACCCGAAGCCAACTATTTGTTCTTGGGTGATTATGTCGATAGAGGTAAGCAATCTTTAGAAACTATTTGCTTGTTATTGGCCTACAAGATCAAGTACCCTGAAAACTTTTTCATTTTGAGAGGTAACCACGAATGTGCTTCTATTAACAGAATTTACGGTTTTTACGATGAATGTAAGAGAAGGTATAATATTAAATTGTGGAAAACTTTCACCGATTGTTTCAATTGCTTGCCAATTGCAGCTATAATTGATGAAAAGATCTTTACAATGCATGGTGGTTTATCGCCAGATTTAAATTCTATGGAACAAATTAGAAGAGTTATGAGACCAACCGATATTCCAGATGTAGGGTTATTGTGTGACTTGTTATGGTCCGATCCTGACAAAGATATTACCGGATGGTCTGAAAATGACAGAGGTGTGTCGTTCACATTTGGTCCAGATGTTGTGTCTAGATTTTTACAAAAACACGATATGGATTTAATTTGTAGAGCACATCAAGTTGTTGAAGATGGTTATGAATTTTTTTCAAAGAGACAATTGGTTACGTTATTCTCCGCTCCAAACTACTGTGGTGAATTTGACAATGCCGGTGCCATGATGAGTGTGGACGAGAGTTTATTGTGCTCGTTCCAAATCTTGAAGCCTGCTGACAAGAAACCAAGATATCCTCAATCAAATAATATTTCTAATAATAGGCCGGTTACACCTCCAAGAAAACCAAGAAGAGGGTCTAAATAAGGGTCTTAGTAATATTACTTCCCAGAAAACCCAAAAAAATCAAAAAAAATTTCCCCAGACCCTTCTTTTTCTGAACCATATTCTTCCCCCTCCCCTATTTTTGTTTGTTGAAATGCTATATCGCTTTCTAAAATATTTTTATACAACCCAAGTTATAATTCAATTTCAATAATGTCTTTGGTATCTTCTCTCCAATTCTCTTGCCCTATCTTAAGATCCTGATGAAATCAATGAACATTAATATTCCACCACGACACAAGATTCAGGTATCCCTTGTTACATAGACTTCAGAATTTTATATCGCATATAGTTTGTTTTATATACCTACTTCCTTGCGAAAAGGCGGTATCTATAGTTTAAGAAATTGTTACAGAAGATCGATATGTCATTGAATTGATGTTGCTGGATGCCCAGCTGCTGCTCCTGCTTCGATCCTTGAGTTATCCTTTATAGTGTTTAGTGCTAATTTTACTCCTAGTGTTATGTTATTCGCGCTGCATGAATTTTTCCTGATGCTCGTTAGCAGCATCATAGGGTTGTGTCTACACTTGTCTACGCGTCCTTCTATTCATGACAAGTCTGCAATACGTGATATCTAGTCAGTTCTCTCTTGTTTACTTATTTAGTTATTTTTCTAAATATCTTATGTTTTACTTAAATTACATGTTTTATGTCTATACCCTTTCCTTCGTCGGTAAGCCTCATCAATGACACATAGTAAACATTGTTGACATTGTACACACTTAACATTGTGCCAGAATTTCTTGCATACGCAGCCTCTACCTCACCTCACCACTCCATACATTGTCCACGATCTCTCAAGCCAACCTAGTCTGGCTCCACTGTATAAAAAGAGCAGTCACAAATAACGTGATGACATTGAAATTGTTCGCACTTCAGTTGGACAAAAATTGTGGATTTTGGTGAGATTATGTAATCCAGGCTCTAATCCTCACAATAGTGAAAAGTTTGAACAATTAGTACCGTTTGGTACGAGAAAAAAAACTGAAATTTTATTAGTGAAAAATTTACTTACCTTTCCATATAGAAGATCGAATAAGATAAAATGGTATGTCTAGATATACATGGGAGATGAAATGCTGAACCATACGTAGAATCCAGAGGTAGCCGTACGATAGAAAAGAGAACATATATTGAGGAATGCTGAACTATGAAAGAAGGATTGGAGTGGTGGATATGAATGGGAAATTTGGTATAATAATGAATAATTCATCAGTGATATGAGACAAGCAAACCACGTATGTCGTGTAAGATTAATGGGATGGTTTAAGGATAGTTCCTGGATGAAATACGAAATACGGTGTGTTCTTACGAACACACCTCTGGACGAAGCAACGGGAGGGGAGGCACTCCAAATGAAAAATTAAAATGACAAACGAGAAACAATATACTAACATAAATATAGGTTTTAGTTCAAGATTTGTTAAACCCAACTCCAGCTTCCGAAGCTCAAAAACATAAATTGAAGACCTTAGTCCAACAACCAAGATCTTTCTTCATGGATGTCAAGTGTCAAGGTTGTTTAAACATCACCACTGTTTTCTCACACGCACAAACTGCTGTCACCTGTGACTCTTGTTCCACCGTTTTATGTACCCCAACCGGTGGTAAGGCCAAGTTAACCGAAGGTTGTTCATTCAGAAGAAAATAGATTAATTGATGGTAAAGGGTGAGAATTAATAAAAGTAAAATGAAAGATGATATATTAATTGATGTTTGGTTTTATTAGTTGAGCTTTTTTATTAATTAGTTTTATTTTGTATATTTAAAAAAAGTAATAGTTTCTTGGGAACTTTGGAAAGTTTATATTTCAAATATAATGCATCTGTCAGAGATAATGTAGTACGGGATAACAAGCAGTTGTATATTGACTGTTTGGGCATATAGCCCTGACAAAGAAAATAGTGAAAAAATTAGTGTGTATAATACTAGAACTAAATACGATTACAACTTCGACTTAGCGTAGAAACGAACAACTTCATCAATAGCTTGAGCAACCTTGTCGATGTTGCCATCATTCAAACCAGCAACGGAGGCTCTACCGGAGCTGACTAAGTAAATTCCGTGGTTCTTTTCCAATCTTGACACCATGTCAGCAGTCAATCCTGTGAAGGAGAACATACCCGATTGGGAGACAATATGATCCCAGTTACCAGGAGTATTGTACTGGTTTGTCAATAAATCTCTCAACTTATTTCTCATTTTGTTAATTCTCGAACTCATAGTGACCAAGTCGTCTTCCCATTGTTTTCTCAATTCTGAATCGGTCAAAATGGTTGCAACAATCTTGGCACCGTATGCTGGAGGGTTGGAGATCTCCGACCTGGTGAGCTTGTTCAATTGTGACTTGATAGCGTTGTTCAAAGACTTGTTGTTTTCGGCTGGAATGACGTGGATAGCACCAACTCTTTCACCATACATACCACAGTTCTTTGCAAAAGATTGACAGATGACAATTGGGGTCTTCAATTTCTTTGAGTCGACAGCCAATCTAACAGCAAACCCATCGTTATCCAAATTACCACTAGCGAACCCTTGGTAAGCAGAGTCATACAAAGCTAAATGTTCGTTCTTAGCCAATGCTTCAAGAATTTGCTCCCATTGTTCCTTGGTCGCATCAAGTCCAGTAGGATTATGGGCACAAGCATGCAACACAAAAATAGAGTTCTTTGGTGCCTTTTCGATAGTAGATAAGAATCCTTTCAAGTCCAATGACTTGGTGTCATTGTTCCAGTATGGATACTTCTCTACCTTCAATCCCAAACTAGTGAAAATTTGATTATGGTTGGCCCACGTAGGGTTTGATAAGTACACCGTTGGAAGATCCTTTGACTCAGTAGTGAAAAATTCCTTCAAAAATGTACCTGCTAAGTGCAATGCACCCGTACCTGACAACGATTGTTGACTGACCACTCTCGACTCCTTGATGGCTGGCGAGTTGTTTCCTAAAATAACTTTAGCACTCTCGGTCAAAAATGGTTGATACCCCGAAATCGACAAATACTCGTGATTGTACCCTTCTGAGTTAATCAATTTCTCCTCTGCCTTTCTAACTGCTGGCAATATCCATGGCTTTCCGTTATTATCTCTATAAGCACCAATTCCCAAATCTACTTTATCCGAACGGTCATCGGCCGTGTATCTAGCTTTCAACCCAAATAATGGGTCTGGAGGTAATTCTTTAATATTTGAAAAATATTTTGACATGTTGTATATCTATAACTGTTAATCGTAAGCGTATAACTTCTAATATCCGAAGCCGACTATTGATTAAAGAAGAACTATGTCCTTTTATATATGCTTTTAGTCTGGCCGGATTTTTCTCCTTTCACGCGAGGCATTCGTAGGAGGGGTCTAAAATCATGTGAGAAAAATGGTTAAACACCGTACACAATTATCGCTATGATGTACATTAAGCAGGCAAACAGAGGCGTATATAAAGATATATATAAACAGACGGGGAGTAATACGGGTGTCTGATATCAAGTGGGGACGAAAATCGGGACAAAATAGGTTAAACTACTGATTTGACCTCGAAAAAACGCTTCAAGTAGTAAATTTGGAATACCGAATTGGCCGCAACCACCAAGATCTGGAATACCGACCACCATTTTACCCTAGAATTGGTAGATTCAGCCGTATTTCTGTGGGTTCTTTCTCTGATGACAAGATAAGTTTGCTCGGCCTTAACATCGTTGGTCAATTGGCTCATTCTTTGAATCGCGTAGTCCAATGAGTCGGCTTTAGGATCGTTAACGTCAACATAGACAACCCCGTGAATATTGAAGGACACATCCAAGTCGACACGACTAGTTTTTTCGTTAGAGAAACAGTATTGGTACTTACCGGAGGTTTGGGCCTTTATTTGCTCGTCCCCGTGATCCAAGTCTTGTCTCTTCAAAACCACTTGACCATTAGGGGTTGTGATCTAGATATAGTTAGTATTACGACCCTTGTAGCGGTGAAATAGAATGGTACATACATGAAAGTCAACGACATATTGTTCGGAGTTGTGGGGATCTCTTGATCCAACTTGGAAACTCACTGCCAATTCGTCATTCTTCTTCAAGTTTTCAAAGAAGCAGTGCTTTCCATATGGAGGTAATAACACATTATGGGCTTCGATCATTGTAAGAAACAATGACATCAAAGTCAATGCTATAACTGACAACTTCATTATGGATAGGAATTGATGAAGTCTTGATGAAAGTTTGACAAAGAGTAGTATTTATGGTTGATTTTCCATGGTGATATTTTAACACGCGTTCAAAAACCACGGTCGCAGCGCACGACCAACTCAAGTACCATACGAGCTCTAGATGAATATTTGATCACTACAAGCTAATGAAGGAGATGTAAGAAGTGTTGGTGAAGTTACATATGTGGGTTGGAATAATAAATATTTATGGACTCTTTGTGTGAGGTTTCAGCTCTTGTAGTTGCTGTAATACGATATTTAGGTCTACAATTTAGTGGGTGCAAAGCCAAAGGTTATGTTAATTCAATTCTATAAACAAACCTATGTAAGTAGAGAATGCAATATATGACAAATAATGAACACATGAAAAGCCCATGGTTGAAAATACAAATAATAGGCGATCACAACGGTTTCATAATTTCATCATAGAGAAGTTTCTTCAAATCTTCAATCGATAACTCATCTTTACGTTTATCGAAATCAAAGAAATCTTCGGGTATTTTTTCTGAGATGGGCTCATCATTGGGGTCGTGGTATATTTTGAGATATGGGTGGTTCAATGCATTGTCCACTGTTATTCTCTTGGCGGGGTTGAATACCAACAAGTTTTCCAACAAGTCAATAGCCAATGGGTTGATGGCATCACTGTTGAACAAATTAGCAAATGGAACTTTCTTCACGAATGGTAAGGAACGAATATATTCCCGGGCACGCTTCAGCTTGATATTGTAGTAATCTTCCATGTTAGGCGTTCCTAACACCTCTATAATAAGCCAAAGCTGGTTATGGTAATCTCTTCCTGGAAATAATGGTCTTCCCACCAACATCTCGGCCAAAATACATCCAACGGACCACACGTCGATGGCGGTAGTATATTCCTGGAACGTCAACATGATTTCTGGTGCTCTATACCACCTTGTGGCCACATACTCAGTCATAAACCCAAAGTTATCCTCACTGGAGGCAATAGACCGAGCCAACCCAAAATCACAGATTTTTAAGTCACAATTAGAGTTCAACAACAAGTTTGATGGCTTCAAGTCCCGATGCAACACATTGGCCAGGTGCATGGTCTTTAATGCCCGCAACGTCTGATAAATAAAGTATTGAATATGATCATCACTTAGCTTCTGTGTCTTGATCACCCGGTGCAAGTCTGTCTCCATAAGTTCCTGAATCAAGTATATTTCGTTGAATAAGTTAAAGTTGATTGGTCGCTGTATGGCAAGAATGGAAATTATATTCTCGTGATTGAAATGTTTAAGCAACTTTAACTCCCTGAGAGTCCTAAGACACAACATCGAACGCTCAAAAGGCTCGATCTTCTTAATAGCAACCTTCTGATTCGTAGGCTTGTGGATAGCCGAACAAACGATCCCATATGCCCCTTCACCTACCACTTCAAGAATCTGGTAATGGTCTGATACATTGAACGAAATTTGTCTGGTCTGAGCCTGTTGTGGTGGTGGTTGTTCATTGTTCATTTCTAACTCAAACGTTCTACGTGATCTTGAGTTATTATAATATGAGAAAAAGAGTACTTTTAGTATATATATGAATCTTGGGGTTATCAAAGTTTCAACTGAAAATGATCACCGTTGCGCGAAACACCATTTTATTGGGTTTTTAATACGCACATATGTCTAGAAGGCACAACGAGTACAAATAATTGAGATATATGCATATCTCTTGTAGAAACAAACAGTCACCAATATTTAGATGTTTTAATCAATTCAAGTGAGATGTTCAGCGCTTACTAGTGCAAATATTGAGCATATTTCCGCACCCAGCGGTGACAAGGCAATTGAGAATTAGGTACCATCAAATCATGTAGGGGCAGGATTAAATGATCAGATCAATGGCATGTCACTAAATCTGCGATCTCTATATAGCGATGGGAACATTCGCTTCTAGATCGTATTCGTTATTATGCATCTATATGTTGCGTATTTCAAGTACTACCTTCTAACACAATTGTGCCTATGCATACATCTAACCGGAATATTACTAAATCCAAATCTACAATTACTTCGACAAATCAAAGTACAACGTAAATAAAATCATATATATGCCATAGATATCTGCGGTACTAAATACAGCAGATCGTCTAAGGAGCCCGGATGGACTGTCTTGCTGTCTATACCCCTAATACACCTACTTCTTACGGCCAAATAACCCCTTCTTCTTCTTCTTCTTAGCTTCCGGTTGCAACGATGTAGCACTGTAGTTAGCGGCCTGGTAGACACCTTGGTTATCACTGGCACCAAAGTTGATAACAGGCCTTTCGTACTCACCTGCACCATTAGCACTCGTATCTCTGGCACCCATATTGTGGTATGTAAAATCTTCATGGAATCCCCATCCTAATCTTTGTGTTTCCATTTGGTCTCTGTAGGTTGGGTCTCCGGTGATAGCGTACTCGAACGTACGGATAGTGTCCAAAGGTCTTTCGTTTCTTGATCTGGTTGGGTTCGAGATATCGGCCTGTCTAATACTGTTTCCAAAAATGTCCTTTAACTCGGATGATTCTTGAGATAAGTATGATGGTCTTCTTTGGTCATGTTCTGCTGCTTGTTCGAAGGGTTGTGCTTCGTTCACGGCCGATAAAATCGGATCGTGCATGTTGTTGGTGGTCATCTTGTATGAATCAAAGTCTTGTTTCGATAATCTTACTTCTCCGTCTTGATAACCGTCCTTTTTGGACGATTTAGATCTGAAAATAGCCATTTTATGTGTTGATTTCTCGGGAAGGGGGTGCTAGGAATTGTGTCCCAATTATGTAATCTATGATCTAAGCGAAAGTGGATCGTTTTAATCCCTCTGTATAACCGTAGTGATATAGTAGAAGCGAAATAGCAATAAATATTCCTATTAATTTAATGTAATAATATAATAAAACAAATAAATAAATAAATTATGGAGATAAAATCACCTAGTCTTTAGCAGATGAAATAATATCAGAATAAGAAATTATAGTTTGGGCATACAAGAAATTAAATAATAAGAAATTAGATAATATTATATACCTTACCCTCAAGTCTAATTATACTTTCAGGTGCTAACCATGAAAGCCTCCACTATAGCCTGTGCCGGCAATTTAAAGGGCCAAACGATATATGGGATTTCTTGCTGAACCCGGTTGTGAAACTGCGGTGAGTGCGCTCCATGCAGTGAATATGCTTAATGCGGTTAATTCGGGCTGTGCTTATAAAATAAGAGCACATCGTTGTAACCATCTATAGGCATAAAATCCGTTGGTGCTACTGGAAGGGGTATAGTATTGTCTAGTGGCATTGTTTGTGTAGTCCAGCAGGTGACTTTACAACGCGTATGAAAATCCCGACAATTAAATTTACTGTACCGCCACGTCTAGTGTTAAGGTTTTCTTTGGGACGATATCTCTTACAACCATGCTTGTAACAAACTTTATTCATAAATACATGTATGTAAAAGTAATGCAAAAAAATTGAAAATTTTAAGAACGGGAGCCCTCAATAAGGAGTTAACATTACAGCCGTCCCGAAGAGATGATTTTCTTCTGAAATAACCTTATAGCGTGCGGTACGTAAACGCACTCGAAAAGAATGCGGGTCGTATAAAGACCAAGGTTACGGGGAAATACAAGAGGCCGATGTACATCCATACACCAAATCATACCTCGAATGTTATTATGCAAGGGGTGTATGGGTTTGTTATGTACGTTTGATAGATGCAATATGCGATTAATGAGTTGGCCACAAGCTGATAGGTTTGCGAAAAGGTAAGGAGTGGTGAGCTTGATCGAAAGAGCTGTATTTACAATGTAGTATTTGCAATGTAGTGTTTGCAATGTGGACTAAAAACCTTTATAGAAGAGGTATAGAACGTGGGCTGCTGGAGGAATAGCTATTGCCACCACGCGATATACGCGAACCAGGAACCGGTGTTCATAGTCTGGGTGCAAATTTTAACCTACATATGGTATGGAGATCGAAATCATAAAAGATGAATATATTGGGGTAAAAGTAAAATTATATCTATTTATGATATCAAAGAGGTCAATAAACCCATTTTATATGCTTAGTTCATCCCGTTTTGGTCCTTGAATATATCCCACGCCTTGTTTAAGGTGATGAAGACGGCCTCGCAAACCATTTTATCCTCCAAGTCCAAGTTGGTCAACTTATCGGGGTGAATTGAGCTGATGACCTTCATATAGTTTATTTTCACTTTTTTGGGTAACATTAAATCGTTGATGGTCAACTTCTTAGTCGTGGCAAAAGGAAGCTCTAATTTTGCAGGAATGATTTGGTCCAACGACATGAGTAAAGTCCGGATATTGTCCTCCTTACCATTACTCCATGCAAAAATCCGTGCTTGGATGTCGTCATGAAGGTTAAACTTCATTTCCTCTTGTTTTTTCGTATCTTCGTGTTGTTTTTGTATGCGACGCAAGTTTTCATTGCTTCCGGATTGTGTACTTGGTTTTGGTTTCGAAGGTACCTTTACTGGACTGACAGCTCTTGGTTTAGGTTTTGGTGGATTCACAATATTATTCACCCTTCTTCTACCATCCATAATCTTTTTATCGGTTACTCCATATTTGGAGATTAATTCCATGTAGTTTTCTAGCGCCTGTGGGAATAACTCTAACATTTCTAAGCTCTCCGCTTTTCTTGAGAGCAACTTGATGTACCAAGCCTTGATTGTTTTCTCATTAATCAAATATGCATAATCTTGTAAATCATCTTCCGTCACCAATTGTAGGGCTTCATCACAGCAGGCTTTGGCTTGCTTATAATTTCCCGACTTAATTAATGTCAAAGCCAAATTTGAATTGATGACGAGTCTTAATTCGTGCTTTTCTGGCAACGACTCTAAACATTTTGTATAAGCTTCATGTGCGGTATGGTAATCACCCACCTTAAACAGCTCAGTAGCCTTATCTTTAGAAGTTTCATAATCCGAAGATTGAAATTGGTTCAAAGGAGTCAGAATAAACGTATGATTGATAACACTTCCAGAAGATTTACTCTTGCCTCTATGTTGGCCCGATTTATGATTCATACCAAGCAAATCAACTTCATTCTCAACTTGACTTGGCTGTTTGGTTTCTGGTTGGATGCTTGCAGTTTGATGACTCTTCTCAGTTTGCTGCGTCCAACTTTGAGGCTGCAGTGATGGTCTTTGAGGTAAATCGGGGTGCTTTATTGGCGATGATCTACCCAGTTTTGAATCTGAATTATTCGATGATCCATTTAGCTTATTTTTAGCAAGACCCTTCAAATGTTCATAGCGGGCCCTTTGCTTTTCCTTATCCTTCAATTTTTGTGATGTAATGAATTCGTTGATAGCCTCATGGTCGATATTTTCTTCATCGGACCCATAATTTTCGGATACTCCTCCATTTGCCTTCCTTTCTGCGGCATCCTCTTTATACATATGCTGAGATTTCATCCATGCTGGTAATGAGCCTTGCCCTTCATTCTGGCCCGATTTTGAATGGTGTTGAAATTGTTCAATGTTCTTCATCACTGTGTTTCTTGAATTATTTATAAATAAAGATGCCTTATTAAATAAATCTGTAGATAATCCATTGATCTTAGCACCGAAATCATTATTCATATCGCTGTCATCACGAATTGGCCTATTCGATGTTTCTTTCTTCTTCTTTTTACTGCCTCCCATTATGAAATTGACACATGTTTGAAGATCAAGTCCAACCTCGTCAATCGCCTCGTTGGACTGCTCTACCGAGAACCCTATATCAACAAGTTCCGCCAAGGTTGTATCTCTGGCATCGGTAGAAGATTCTGACTTGGATGATCTAGTTTGGGTCCTGGCATTTGTCCTGGCATTGGACTTATCTTGAATTCTTGAATCAGAAATCTGCAGGCTCAGCTTTGTACCAGAATTTGAATGGCTACTTGTTTCTGACTTTGGTCTCCTTGTAGACGACGTGAGCTGTTCTATGGGCTCTGGTTCTGGCGTGAATGCATCAGTAAACTCGTCATCCAACAATGATATCTCGTGGTTAGCTTTACCGCCCAATCCCGTATTGGATGTGTTGCTTGTCGTCTCTTGTGACGGTTTCGACGGCTTACTGGCTCTTAATGGCTCTGTAGCCTGCGGTTTTTCAAAGATTGAAAATGGGTCATTCGACTGATTTGGTGTCGAAGACCTCGATTGATTGACCGATCCCACACTCGAATTACTCACTGGACTCCCATTAAATATATCCAAATTAGAAAAACTATTTTGCGAATAATTTGACTTGTTTATTGCCGGACTCTGTTGTTTTCTTTGTCTCTCTAAGAGACTAAGATTCTTATCGTTAAGAGAACTGTTTGATCCTGAATTAGCCGATTGAAATAAATCCGCAAAAGCATCTTTTTTAGGTGGAGGCGCCATGACTCTTTATCTATGATTTCGGCCGCCGTAATTGTCTATATCTGTTATATCTATACCACTAATGATGTACTTGTGTTTATCTCCACCGACTATTGCACACTTAGTCGCAGTTCCAAAATTGTCGTGTGCTCACCCAAGCATGAACATAAATTTTTTTTTATATCATATATGGAACTCATCTTGAAAAATCAACTAGTTTAAGTTTCTTGAATTATACACATTAAAAAAGAATAATCACCATGCATTTAATGTACACATTAGGCCCAGATGGCAAGAGAATCTACACTTTGAACAAGCTCACTACAGAAGGTGAAATCACCAAGTCTGCTCATCCAGCAAGATTTTCACCAGATGACAAATATTCCAGACAAAGAGTTACCTTAAAGAAGAGATTCGGTTTATTACCAACTCAATAGATGGTTTGAGTGATCTTCTACGGAAACACACCAGTTTGTGGTTTCTGTGGGTATTTAATGGAACAGATTGAAGATGCATCGAAAGTGAAGTGAAAAGTTGACATAGCGATGAGAGGAGAGAAAATGACGACTAGAGAAAGAAAAATGACATGAAAGGAAATGTACCCGGTAATGCAGTGGTATATTTGTTGCTAGCTTTCATGTGTTAAAAAAAATACATTTATCTACGATATGTACATTACATAAATAATTTAAATTCTTTATATTGAAAACTAGTTGTAAATTAAGCATCGGAAATAATCGCTTTTGTGAGAATATCTATGCTGTAGCTATAGTACATTATACAAGGGGTGGGACTCGAGAGCCAGGGAAAGTAGCGATCGCTTCATATAGGGTCTTTCTTCTGGCCCGTGGCTTCCAAGTTGAATTCAGAATTCTTGGAATAATTTTCCCACATCTGTGCTACCATCTCAGTGTCCATGTTACCTCTATTAATGTCTTGTAATGACTTATTCATTGTTACAATCGATTCATTCAAGTTTTCCTATAATAATAGTTAGTATAAGATTTAATTGATCATCCATAGACCTAAGACTACTCACCATATTGCTAATAATACGTGATAATAACGCATTTTGTACTTGCTCGTGTGGATTCTCCATATCTGAGTTATGTGATTATGTTACTGTCTTATAATCAAAAAGAGATAGTTATCTAATGTTATGTTTATTTCTATACTAAATGCGCGATTAGTATAAAAAAGTGTTCAATGTATAATGAAATTCTTATTGAAATACCTAGTTTGTATTGCATCTAAATAGCATTTATTGGATCTTATGTTTTTAATCTAAAGGACTATTTACATTTAATTTAATAAACAATACTTAGTTCTAAATAATGATCCCGGAATATCTCAAACCATAAACTAAATAAGACCTATTCATTGTTATGTATGCACTGGTGGATGAGTTCCTACTGGCGTGCATTGAGTCAGGGGAAATACCCATTGATTATGTTAAGAGTCCTGAATTTTTTCACTTATTAGAAGAATCAAAAGTCACTAAGGATCCTTGCTATGAAGAACTATGCTACAGCAGAAATAAGGAATTGCAAATCAGCCGAAATAGATCAGAGGCCAGGTATTTTGATGAAAACCCAGGCCTTTTTACGGAAGATAGTTTAGGACATCCTAAATTGAACACCAAAATAGATATTGATTTGAGTCGTGGTTACAAGAAATTTCGAGTGCTTAGTCGGACTTCACTGACTCTTGATAATGTACGTGGTACAAAATATGTTGCAATGGAAGATTTTGAAAAAACAGAGAATAAGAAATTAGACGAGAATGTTATAACATCAAGACATACTTTGTTGGAGTTATTAAATCTTCCATTTCAAAGGAATGCCATAATCCAAAATATTGTAGCTTTCAATGGTCAAGTATTTATGGAAGCGGAACAGAGACCTCAGAAAAGAGCCGATGCTAGTAGTATGACTGGTTATAATTTTGAGGAGGTGATGACCTGTTCTGAATGTGATATAAATAGCTCTAAGCCTTTTGAATTCATTCCTCCAATCAATAATGCAGTAAAATTTAACTCAATGATAAACCATACATTCCCAGAGTCCGGACTATCTGTTCTAGTGTCGTGTGAAATTGATTGTATTAGACAAAAACTGGAAGAAGTTTCATTGCTTCACGATGATTCTGACTTCAAATACAAAATTCTTGAGAATAATATTGAAATGAAGTCTCGTAAGATTGGTGGTCGCAGTAATCTTATAAAGGCTATTCTCCAGTGTTATTTAGCTGGTACCAATGACTTAATTGTTGGGTATAGAGATGGTAACTTCAATCTTAAATACGTTGAAAAACTAAACGTATCGGAATTGCTTGAATCTTCGCCTAATCCACTCTTGAAACGTACATTTTTGGATAAATGGTTCTGGTTTATTGCACAATTTATATCACACACCGTCAAAATGCCACGAAGCTTATCTCTACATCATCACCAGCTTACTTTCAATAAGGACAACAATACACTTACACTAAAATCATTCAGGTTGAATCCTTATCGATTAGAGAAAACAATTATTAGCAGGTTTGTCAAATGGCGGAGATACTTGGCAACAATGCAAAAACATCAATTATTAGTAGATAATAATGGCATGGCAAATAATAAGCCGCCAAATAAAAAAGAGACAAGACGGAACAAGAAAAAAAACAAAATATTTGGAGACTCAAAGATCAGTTCAAAAATTGCTGAACAAAGCGACAGCATTTCTCATGCTACGGAAGATAATGGAACTGATCAGGTTGTAAACGCCCTTGAGAGTATTTCTTTATCGTGAATCAAATATTGTTCAATATATCTGGACAAGTGATAAGAGCATTTAACATATATCATTACTATAGAATTCGTGCATATAGTAAAGTACATCATCTACAAAATATGAATCTTAAGTTATATAACTATTACACAATATATAAGCATGAATTTGGAACGTAAATATTAGTCGTTCAGTCTCATTTACACTTATTTTCTAAAATAAAATCCGCAACTAGAGGTCTATGATCACTCATGTAAGCACCATTAAATTTGGAATGTAACATTGCAAATGCTTGCAACTTTAAAGATAAATTTGCCTCTGGTGAATCCTCGGGCCTTGACTGTTTGTCACAAACATCTCTCTGGTTGACCCTTGTGGTGTAGCCTGGTGCAAAGATATAATCAATGTTCTGACCTCCTTGAAGTAAAACCTCTCCTTCAAACCCAGTCACACTAGACTTGGAATGGCCATATCTATTAAATGCTGTGGTTAATCTGGATACATCTTTATAATCTTCAACAATTAGTTGGTATGTTCTTTCTGTGGGCTCGGCATTTAAATCACCGCAGAATATCGACGGCCATTGATTAATCTCATTCATCTTTTGAACAATCATACTTGCAGAGCCAATTCTAGAAAGCTCGCCAACATGATCAAAATGCGTATTGAAAAGATTAAAGTAATTCTCTGTCCTTTTATGTTTAAGGGTTACATATGAACAAATACGCAAGTACTTTGCATCCCATCCTTCTAACGACGTTCTTGGGTTTTTCTCGTTTAACCACATGGTGTCACTAAAAAGTAACTCCCATTCGGAAGTCTTATAGAGCACAGGAACATATTCCCCTATGTTTCTACCATCAATCCTGCCAGCACCATAAGCTGCCCACTCAGGTTGGTTCTGAGGTGAATATCTATTTAGTTCACTTAAGAGATTATCTAGCTGAAACTTGTAAACTTCTTGCAATGCTACGATTGTATCATGGCGAGCATTAAAAGCGATCGAACTTGCAATTTCGTTTACCCTTTCTGCCCAAGTTCTCTCTCCTGACACTAAGACATCATGACCGCCGTTCTTTACATTATGAGAATATATCCTGAAATTCAAAGGCTGGATCTCATCAAATTTATTTGGAACCTCAACGAATGGCTTCTCTTTTATTGTCACTGGTTTAAGGGGCGAGTTAGGTACTGTACCAGACCCCAATGTTCCTTCTTGTTCCGACTCGTGAATATGAGGAGCATCGTTATCCGTCTCATTATCTGCATCTTTATCCGCATCTTTATCCGCATCTTTATCTGTATCGTGCTTATCTTCGTCATCTTCGTCATATTTGCTTCCTTCATTAGATTCTGTATCTCCAAGGAACTTATTTGGGTTCTTAGGATCATTCGAATGATCCCCATATTTCTCGTTCATATAATCACTAACGGCATCCTTAGGGTTACCTTTCAACTTGGATCCTTTCGGATCTTGTGCTGATTCTTCTTCCTTTTCCTTAGGCTTTGAAGGTAACTTAGGCCTTGGAGTTGACTTATATTTCGATGCATTTTTCTCAGGATTTTTTGATTCATCGTCCTTTTGTTTGTCAGCATTATTAGCAGGAGACTTTTCTGCTTTCCCTGTCGTTTCTACTTTTTCTTCCTTTTCTGTTTTTCCTGATTTCTGCGGTTTCTTTGAATCGTTAGGTTTCGCAGCATTCTCTGCCTTTTGAGGCTTCTCTTTGGCATTATTCTTATCACTGGCCTTTCCTTTCTGCGACGACTGCTTCCCCTTGTCTCCACTATCCGTCGCTTCACTTTTCTTTCCGCCATTTTTGTCGCTACTTTTCGCAGATTGTTTTTGATCCTTATTATCTACGTTAGCTTTGTCGCTGGCTGTTTCATCACTCCAACTCGGCCTCTTTTTTTTGTTACCCAACTTAGTTTCCTTTAGTGGTTCATTGGAAAATTTAATAACCCCATCATATACATCATACGATGTTACAATAAATGCAAGCAAAGAAAGCAACACAAGCGACCATATCAAGAACCTGATGTTCTTCCTCCGGCTTATTCTAGACATTGCTAAGCTAACTTCTACTTTAGACCTATTATTGATATAATTGTACAAAGGGGAGATTAGACATAACTCAACAGAGTTCTCCAGTCGCGGTCGCACTAAACTTGGACCACGTAAAAAAATTGATCTAGAGGTTCTAAGTCTGTAAAACCCACTATAAGTAATCAAATTACTACAAATAACAGCCTTATAATTCTACCCAAGTACTTCAATCACCAATTGTGCAATATGAACAATGTAATACATCAATGACATACCACGAACTACTGTTATATATTCAAATATTTAGTTACATAACTATTC